ATAAACATCACTAAATATGACCTTGTTAGCTTGTATTCTTGACAGATCCGATCTCGGGTACGAATGCAACACAGCATTCAAAAAAACACAGAAAGCTAGGATATGGATAGAACAATATGTGCACCATTCTGAGCAAAGTGGGGTGATAGGGTAACTCGCAGACTGAAGGAATCCCATAAATCTTTCACGGGGGCGCCAACAGATCGTGCCAATCGGAAATATTCTGCTATCAAGAGAAACAAAACGGTCGTCTACAACATACCTCGAAAAGCGATTAAGAATACGGCCAGCTGGAGTGGTTTCGAAGAAAGACATTGGTGATCGGAAAATGGCAAAGGCCATACGCTCGTGAAGTTTCCTAGATGCCTGAAAGATGCCAGGTTAGCTTTCGTGGCTAGTTTCGCATAATGCGAGAACCCGCTTCCTGGTCAGACAACCTTACCTCGATAGAACAAAATATCCACAAGATTAAGGTTTGGACAACCACGAGAGCGGCAGATCCAATACCAAAGGCAAAGTAAACACCAATGTACTTGCCGACATCTCGGTTAACGCCAAGTTTGTCATTGGCCTCAGCCCAGCTTTTGAGCCACACACTGCCACCTATAAAAGATTAGTAAAAGTGATTTGTCTGCAAATAAAAATGAAGTAAACCTACTGATCTGTGCCGTTTGTGCGCCAACCAACATAGTCAAATAGATCAAGACGGCAGCAAGGTTGCTAGTCTTAGCATATTCAGCATACACTAATCAAAGTTAGTATCCATGGTGTGGTTTTGAATTTGTATATGCCTACCATCCCATTTTACTTTTCCTTGTTCAGAATGTTCCTTGCCCTGCTTAGATTTCGAACCATCTTCCTCATCACGTAGTTTACCTCTTGGACCTCTGAAAGTTGCTGTACTGGCACGTCTTAAGGTATTAGAGCTACCTTTTCTCTTCTTAACACCTGACCCTCCAGGTCGAATAGGTTGAAGTTGTGTCAAATGTTCTTGGGCTTCTTCAGCTTCGTCTTTTTCTTCCTCTTCTCCGGGCTGCTCAAAGTCAAGTATTGTTGAAGAGTCGCTAGTTTCGGTGGTTTCAGAATCTGTGGACACATCCTTATTTTCGGATGTGTTAATTAGATTTGCAATTTCTCCTCGTCTAGCAATGGCCTGATCATATGTACCGCGCTCGATGATTTTAGTATCTCGAAGCAAACAGATGAGATTCGCTTCTTTGAGAACGGGAATAGAATTTGTGGCAAGAAGTCTAGTCTTTCCACTGAGTAATCCAGTTGAACCAAAGACATTATCGATCAAATGTCTGCCGACATGTTGATCAACTGCAGATAAACAATCGTCCAATAGATATACATCAGCTCTAGCGTAGACTGCCCTTGCTAAAGTCAATCGTGCTTTTTGACCACCACTTAAGGAAATACCACGCTCTCCGACCTCAGTTTCATCACCATCTGGCAATTGAGCAAAATCCTCCGAAAGTGCACAGGCCTTGACAGTTTTATCATAAAAGGTGGGATCAAAACGGTGACCGAATAGGATATTTTCCTTGACGCTGGCGTTCATAACCCATGGTTGTTGTGCTACGTAAGCTGTTTTTCCATGAACGATTACCTGACCCTTGACTTTCCAAAGATCACCAAGAAGTGCTTGTAAGAAAGATGACTTTCCTGCTCCGACTCGACCAACAATACAAGTAAGTTCTCCTTTATGTGCAGAGAAATGAATGTCTTGCAAGACGTTGCGGTCAGAGTTTCTGTCCCAAGAAAAGGTCGCATCTCTGATGGTCAAAGATTCTTCACCGTCGTCCTCAATAGGACCCTTCGAAACTACCGCATCAGACTGTAACTCTTCGGCTGTGAAGAACGATGTCAAACGCTTGACAGCAACGGAAGCTTCAATGATGGAGGTGATAACCATTGGAAGAATTGCCAACGGGAATGTTAGTAAGTTGAGTAAAGTTAAAGTAGGGAACACAATATCAGTGGTCAGTGGACTGTTGGTAGTCAACACAAAAACAGCAAACGTCGAACAAGATACCAGAAATGGTGTGGTAGACCAAGTAAAATTGGCAACTGATTGTGCAGCACCAATCTTTCGTAGAGTTTTAAGTTCCTGGTCATTTCTGACAAAATTTAACTTGGCCATAAAAGCAGAACTCCAGGCATAAAGCTTAATACTCTTCATGTTGTTGATAATTTCCGCGATCAATCTTGTTCGAGAATCCTTATTCTTCATCTGCTCCTGCTGTAACTTTTTCATTAGGCGAGCGATGAGGCCATTGATTGGAATCATTAGAACCATAGCAGCGACACCAGCCAACATTGATAACCCGACTAATTGATATAATGATACCATGCAGAGAATTATTTGATACGGAGCAGACCATAATTGTTGCCCGTATTGAGTAAGATCTTGTAGTCTTTGAGTATCAACAGCCATGTAGTTGACAATATCTCCAGTAGACTTGCTAGCTCTTCCCTCATTCGATAATTTAAGTGATTTTCCGTAAATTGCTGCCGTCAAGGCGGTCTTAATACGCATGCCAGTTTCAAAGGCTCTCTGAAAGTATTGATGCAAAGCCATGGTTTGTCCTACGGAAACAGAAAACATGCCCAAGGCTATAGCTGCTCCTCGAATTACAGGTTGTGGTTCATCGGTCGTACGTGACTTGACCCATTTGATCAATAGCTTTAGAAGTTGCGGCTGTATGAAGGCGAGCGAATCGCTGACAGTCTTGAAAAGAGCGCCACGGAAGTATGGTCCACTGAAAGATCTGAAGATAGCCATCCAAAGAGATGGTGTTTTCTTATGTTCGATTTCATAATCCCAGGCCTCCTGGAACGTCTCGCTGCAAGACTTGGTGGTATCCCTTTTAGCCAGATTCCATAGATCGTCCTCTGTCAAATACTTCTTGTAACCCTGTTTCATCATAGGGGTCATCCAACCAAATGTGAGGATCGAAAATACAGTAGCATATTCGACAGGGCATTCGTCTTCATCTTCCAATGCCGAATATACGCTCTGCTTCTTTGGCACAAGCCATTCCAAGCCAAATTCAATTAACGATAACCCGAATCCCACTGAGTATGCGATGAAGTATGGAAGATGCTCGTGGTAGATTTGTTGAGATATTAACGATCGGAGCTTGACTGCGTATGCGATATTGAGAAGAAGCCAGTAAAAGAGTACAACGCCGTTCGGATTGCGTAGTCGGGTATGCTCGAGCCATTGAATGGTAAAAATGACACCAAGAGATGCGATTTGTATAAGACTGGTCCAGAATCTAAAGTCACCCGCCCACACATCGGGATAGTTAAGTATCTGTATAACGAGTTGTACTGCGATCGAGGTTGCGATTCCTATTATGATGGCCTATGGAACATTGGATAAGCATTTTTCCATCAATTTCGTTTCTTTCAATCACTAGTGAGGTTTATACCTGCTTAAGCCAAAAATGCCAGTCTTTCTTTACTTCCGCTGTAGTCTTCCTTCTTACGAGCCACCATATGGCGATAGCACCACCTAAGATTCCAAAGGCCGCCACAGAGCTCACCCAAACATCCATAAAACACGGTGTGAAGTCATAACGATGAGGACTCAATGGACCCCATCCCTCCTTGTTACCGCATAACGGTTGAGATCTCGATTTATCTGCCGTGAGATATCCACTCCCAAGCTGCTCCTGCAATGCGCGAAAGCCAGAGAAGGAGCCTGTCTTGAGGATGCTCTGCGATGAGCTAACGACCATGACCGATATGTGATACTTTGTGTACTGAATCCCTCCTTCGATAGACGATAGAGGTTTTCAGAACTAGTGATATGGAAGTATGGAAGGATAGTTCATTCGTTCTGTAACACAATGACAGAATAGATGATGGAAGTGGCAGAGGTTGGGACGGATTTTTGTCTGATGGGGTACGAGTTTACAGTACGGGACCGATCAAAATTGTACTAATTATTTAGTAGATAGGTACGGATTTAAGCTATGACGGGTGTGTTCCGATTTCCTCAACCTTGACCATAATTGTTTATTAATTAACCTTACAAAGCAACACGAACAGAAAGAAAAAGAAAAAGAAAATCTGCGAAATGATCGCACAGAGCAGAATGAAGTTACGTATCAATGTAATGGATTCTCTCCATCTCTTTCTTTCTTTAATAGATTTGTATGGTTTAACAAGTACTTAGCAGTTGAGCATTTAGATGTTCTACGTATGGGTAGTCAGTCTCTTTGAGTTACGGCTCCCTATATAATATGAGGACTCGGGAACTAGCTATCTAGCTACTTAGGTAGACGTCATTAGATCTTATATCTGTGCCTATCATCTAGACTCTATTTCAGTACATCGTAAGATAGATACGAAATAAATCTAATGGTTAATACCATCCATAACTACCGCTCCCGGTAGATCCGTGTGTCTATATTCATAACAAAAGTAATTGAGTACCTAGTAGATATCTCTACTCGGCTGGATCGTTCTGTTTGATTAATGCAAGTCACAAATTATCAAGAGCTTCAATCAAAAATCTAGAAACTCTCCTGCATGCATGCATATCACCATCTCGATCTCCATAGATAAGTAAGGATGTCAAGTACTGTAGTGGGGCAAAATTATGTACCTAAAACACTGAATAGCTTTCTGTCTGCAGAATGCCGCATTCGAGATGAAATGAAAACTTGAATTTGGTGGTTGAACAAGAAGCTAGATAAGAAAAATCATCTCGAACGCCATAGGTAAAAGACCAAGGGGGAAAATATGATCCCCGAATTTTCCATTCGAGATCATTCCTCCAACCGGCCCCGCATGAAAACAAGAGGGATCATAAAAGCAAAGCTACCTAACCATCTCCAAAATCCCTACTTCTCCCAAAGAAACAATGAAAAGTGATAAGTCGATACACAAAGGCTCGAAAACATTGTCTTTAAAGGGTATCATCTTATCGCGTTGGGACCAACAATGTAGGAGAAGACCGCCCAATATTCTCAAGACTCCATCATCTAATTATCTGAAGCACCAGCATCTTCCTTTTTGGGTGCCAAACCAGCACTTTGACATGTCTTCTTCCATGTCTCAACTTCACGCCATGCTCTCTCACATTCTGTCTTCAACTTATCATTGCTAGCACTGAGTTCCGCAATGGCTTGTTCAGTGAGAAGCTTCTCAAGTGTCCATTTCTCAATGTTTTGAGTCTCATTCTCCTTGAGCTGGGTGATGAATTGAACAGCTCTTTGTAGAATAGATCCTTTGTTTTTCTCACATCCGGGTACAATCTTCGCTAACTCGTTGATACCTTCATTGATGGTTTCTCGGCGACGTCTCTCAACTAGAAAAATGATCAATATAAGAATTTAAAATATAGAACGCATGGAGTAAATTCACCTTCTTTGTGATTGTCCTTTCGGACCTTGTGCCATTCATCGGATCCTACAACAGGTTTTGAACCCGAACTTCGACTTTGAGGTTGGTGTTGCTGTTGTGAATTGTCCATGAAGCTATTGTCGGGCTGCTGGCTATTATCCATAAAAGATGAATCCTGGTGACGATCGTTCTCGGAGGCTTGAGAAGCAAAAGAGACATCTGTTGGTTGTGGAATTGTCATGGTTGGATAGATTCCAGCAAGTGCCGCAGCGGCAGTAGATGAGGCGTTTGCATGATCTGCGGCACCATTTTGATGGTCGGGATGAATTTGTTGATTGTGTTGAAGGTTGGCATAGTTTTGCAGGGCTTCTACATCACCGATCTGCTGATTGACCAACGATTGGTCACCGGAGTCATTGACAGAATTCGGGGAAACACGCTTGTTGTTAAGGCGCCTCGTGTCATCAGCTGATTCGGAGTCCCGCTTCCGCTTTTGTGCAGTGTTGCTCATATTAGCATTCTCTTCCCGCATAGCATTTGCTACCTCCTGCAATCCTGAATGTTCAAGGTCCATGTCTGCCATTGCGATAATCTGATGTCCTCGTGACGAGCCTTGCACGGTGATTTGTGGGGGATGTGAGGAATTAACAATCGTAAGGCGCAGATGACCTCGAGGGGTTGGTAGATAGATTTAAGGCTGAACTTGATCTTTCGCGATTTAATGACGTGTCTACCGAGGTTGGCACAAGTGCAACGAGCGTCTTCTTCTGGTGCAAAGGGGACGGCTGTTACGGAAGCAATGGAGACGTATCGGTGGCTCGCTCTAATGCTTCGAGGCGCTCAGCTGCAGTAGTTCGTCGCCGTGATCTTCGAAACGAACGTTTCTGTGTCCTTCAACGTAGCACCTACAAGGTCAGCACGTGTCATTGCAGATAAAGTATCACATAGTAATTCAATCAATCAACAAATTCTTGATAACAAAATGAAATGACAATTGAAACTTTTGGGCGATGTGGTGATGTTGCGCTTCCGTCTTCGAAATGCTGCAACTCCGAATTGATAAATCATCCTAAATGAGATCAAGCATTTCGTTGGCAAGAAGTATAACAACTGCAGTAATCAATTGTGGTACTTTTGTGCAAACAAGACTATTGTCATTTTGTGTGAACGTCGCAGGGAGTAGTTCAGTTACAATATGATATTGTATATTGATGCTGCTCTGCGAGATATGACCAAAATCATGGGAGGAGGCATTTTGTGTGTGTTGCGATCTGGTGATTTAAGAAGTGCAAGATATTTTGGGCCAACGGTAATGTCCGAACAATCCTTGTTGCGTGGAATTGGAACGCTGCGAGGTTTCACGAAAGATAACCCTTTTCTCTTTTGTCTTTTGATCCTTTCTCTTTTTCTTTCATAAATGTGCAGAGGCGCTCCTGACAAGTAACGGATTGATGCAACGGACAGGCACAGATTTGAAAATAAAATTGATCGATCTTTGGGGCCTCTTTTTTGGAGGGGGAGGGGAGCTTGTGGAACTTGATTATGAAATTTCACGCACCTTGTTTTTTATTATGATCACCTAATGATCGGTTGGGTGGTTGTTATCTTTCTTTCCTCCCTTCCTTGCCCGAGGCTCTTGTGGGAACGCGACCAAAGTAAAATATGAATGATGGAACTTTTTGATATTGTTAAATCACCAACCACTCGAATTATTGATGGGGAAAACAGAGGCAAGAGCTATGAAGTGATTAGCAGATGATTTTATTGATTAGAATTAACAGATCAATTTTAGATGATATCCTTTTGATCCAGGATAGGAAGGGGGGGAATCGAAATACTCACCAAGGTCAGATGATGTTGTTAAACAACCATTCAATTGATCACGAGTGATCCAAACTGCAATGTCACGAAAACAAAGCTTGACGACCCTAACTAGGTATAAAGACCGAACTGAGACAAAAGAGACAACCCTCAGAATATTGGATGTAATGCGAAAATAGCGTGAGTTAAGTACTTCTTTACTTCTTTTTGGAGAAGTTCTTGTGTTCTTGTTGATGGTTGATGGTTGATGGTTGATATGATACACGTGAAGAGAGGATCATGTGGGAAGGAAAAGAGCAGAGGCACTTTTACCGGGTGAAGAGATTATTGAGGGGCTTATTGTAAAGCTAGGTGATAATGCGTTAGACCGGAACTGTATTGGTGCCTTAAAGGGAAGGCTGTCAGCGCGCAAACAGTCGAGATCACACACTATCAAACTCTTTTCCCTATCACATGTCTGTGCAGAGCTGTCGTGATTGGTCAGAGTAGCTGGGCACTCTATGAGGTCTTGACATTCACCTGTGCTGCTACTTCTACTCGTATTGTTTCTTCACAGACTCACAGAGTATATTCAACCCCGTCATTATTCTAGGTGCTGACACTTCACACAATTTGACTTTGAGATCACATTGATCGCGCATGCAGTTTCAATTTTATATCGTGAGCGTTTGGGTACTCGATACGCAGCTGCTGCTAAGATCTTTCAAAATCAAAATCCTCCCTCAATAAGTGGCGGCAATTTCACAGCCAATTTGTGGATTGGAAGATGGTGGTGATGAGGTAGTAGTATTAGTATGTGTACCTAGAGATAGGTAGATATCGAGTGGTGGCCTTTCCATGTACATTCAAAGGCAAAGTTGCTTTCGAATTCCCGTTTCTACTCCACCGCAAAGTCCACAACCCTTCGGTTCGTCACAACGCCTTGAGGTATCGAGTCAAGGTGACAGTTTTTCTGTTCCCCATCACAAAAATCTAGCAGATACATGAAAGGAAAGACAAAGTGTGAGAATAGAAGAAAGGGTACTGGGATGACAAAGTATGGTATGGATGGCTTCGACAGTCAAAAGAGGGGGAGAGAACGAATCAAATTCCCTTCGGGCTGGAAAGAAAGCAGGGTGCAAGGCAGGAAAATGTCCTAAGCATAGGAAGAAGGGGATGAGGAAGAAGAGGGTGAAGTATCTTGTTGAACATGATGATGGGAGTAGAACGGAAACTTCAATCATCAATGTTGTTTCTTAATGCTTCTTCGAGTCTCGCCTTTTTGCTTTGGATGTAAGTAGTGAAAAGATCAAACCTAGGTAATACATCACAGAAGAATAAAAGAACCAAAAATCTAGATCACAAAACCGTCTGGTACATTTTCAGTCCCTTGAAATATTGTTGTAGGAGTGGTGGGTTTTTACATATATCCTGGGGTGATTAAATTCAAGGGTTAGCATCTGTCCAATTTGACTCTGAAAACGATCAGTCGAAAGTGTCTACATTTTTGTTGATAATCATGTTGCAGAGGAGATATCTCGATGCATTGACACGGTTCCGAAATCACGAGAGTCAAAGTCGGCTGGAGATGTGTACGGCTTGTATTTTCAAGCTTTCGCGGAGAATCAAGGGAAACATACATCAAGATCGCCAGAGGTTGTAGATCTCCAGACGTACTAATGATCGGTAAGGACAACGGCATAATTGAATGGAGCAAATTCTTGATTCGGTTCGCTTGCGGATACGGACCGTTACTACAGATGTATCGCGAGGGCGGCGGGCTCATGCGAGTGAATATACCCCTCACCCTCGGCAAGCTTCAAAAGTCTACACGCGGCGTAACCATGGCAGTCGAAGTTGAAGATTTACGGACCGTGAAAAAGTACAAAGCTTTGACAGAAGGAGCGGCAAACCCGTGAGGAACAGTTCGCGTATCTAGAGCAAGATGTAAGGGGAAGCAAAAAGAGCATGAGAGAGTTGGCGAAAAGGGGCCCAATACAAGTTCTATAGTCTCTCATGATATATCGCGTTCTGATGATCAGTAATGGTTCTCGTAACACACCAATTTCTAAGTAAATATAAGGCATCAAAATCACTAACTTAGAATCAAATCCAAAGTCTTCGAATATTTATCCGTGCATGTGCCATCCAAAAGTCGAGAGCCATGTGACCATACTGATCTGATATCACATCTGGTCGTAAAAGTAACCGTAGTTATCGGTCCCAGACCATGGAGCTACAACGTCAATCTCACAATCTATATCGTACAAGATTGGAATGATTGTAAACTTGTAAGAACATACACATTAATTCTTACAACTTACTGCATTCTTATACAAATTTCTACAAGATTTGGGTTGAATCCGGAAATAGTATTATATCTTTAATAACTTGTGATTCACGAAAGAACAATTCCTTCATCAGTCTGAGTATTCATTGGCTTTGATATCCACTACTGTCACTGCCTCCGGGCACAATTCACAGTCCTCTACTTTCTCTATTCATCTCTAAAGCTCATCACTTTTTCTTATACTGACGCACATCTGAACTTCATTCAACATGGCTGATTTCATAACTACCAAGCTAAATCCTGAAACCCATCTGATCCTCGTAAGTTTCCTTTCCTCTCTTCCCCTCCACGCATCTCTCAAGCTAATAGCCTCATAGGACCAACCACTCCTTCGACTTCCCCTCGAACTCCTCAAGAAAAACTTCAAAGTGGTCCATTTCAATCTCGAAAAAGAATCTGCGAGCGTTAAAACTGCCTTGAAAGAAACCACTGACGCTTCCCTCAATGCCCATGCTTCTCCCGACGATGTTCTCAAAAATGTTGATTCTATGCTCACCCGCATGCGCGGTCTAAAACGCAAACTACAATCATGCGCCGAAGAAGAGAAGAGATTACAAACGCAATCTGCTGCGAGAATCAAACATATCAGTTCACTCTACGAGATAAAGAGTTTAGAGGATGTGAAATATGAGGAATGGAGTAGGACAAGGTTAGATCGGTTGCTAGTTGATTATTTGTTAAGGAATGGATATAAAGACAGTGCTACTGCTCTTGCGCAGGAGAAAAACATCGAGGAGCTGGTGGATGTGGAGACTTTCGTTCAGATGAGTAGGATTAAAGACAGTCTCTGTAGAGGCAAAGTTACGGAGGCGTTGGCATGGTGTTCCGAAAATAAGAAAGAGCTGAGGAAGATGGAGGTAAGGATTCTAGGCACATACTGTAGTACCTATACTGATATCTCGTACAGAGTAATCTCGAATTTATGCTTCGTTTCCAGCAATATGTCGAGTTGGTACGCACAAAAGATGAGGTGAAGTTGGTTGAATCTATCGCACATGCGAAAAAGTATCTATTACCATTCCGGGAAAGCTATCCCAAAGAAGTTCAACAAGCGTGTGGACTCCTAGCATTTCCTCCCGGTACTAAAGCTACAGGTTACGGAGTACGTTTTCCCATTTGCAATCTGCTCCACACCCCTAACAAAAGTCGCAGGAACTCTATAGTCCCACTCGCTGGACACACCTCGCCAACCTTTTTACGCAAACGCATAACGAACTCCTTAATCTTTCCTCTGTGCCTCTCCTGCACATCGCTCTATCTGCCGGTCTCTCCGCGCTTAAAACCCCTGCCTGTCATTCCTCACATACTTCCTCCATCTCTCCCACTTCCACAGCCACGACGACTACGTCCGTTTGTCCTATCTGCAGCATCGAGCTCAACGAATTGGCCAAAGACATGCCTTATGCACAACACACTAAAAGTCACGTTGAAAATGATTTGGTGCTTTTGCCGAATGGGCATGTGTATGGTGAGCATCGATTACACGAGTATAGTCGGAAAGTGGGTTTGGAGGAGGAAACCTATAAGGATTTGAGGACGGGAGAGGTATTTGCGAAGGGCTTAGCTAAGAAAGTATTCATTTCATGATGCGAGTAGTAGAGTAGTATTCGGATGGTTCAATAGATGCGGGCTTTCCGGAGCTTTGTTGCATGGATTCGGGGTTAGGTATTCAAAGAATGTTACACACATGCAAAGATTCATGGCCAGAGTAGGTGTATCATCATTTGTCTTCTGAAATGATTCGTAAGTGGAGAAGCAACTCGTTTATAGCATTGAGTAGTTAGCTATATTTCAAAATCATGATCAGATTATCAATTCCACGCTTCGCCACCTGCTATAATATATGAAAGTAGCTGCTGGATAGATATCTCAGTAGGTGGCAAAACGATTCGACACAACATAGTTCCCGAAATTCCAGTTTCCTAAGTTTAATCATTCATCATTATCAGCACCTATGTACAAGTACCTATTAATTAATCCTGGGGTCTCCTTCTTTCTCTTTTACAACTAAACATACCCCTACCCTTGCTTTCTCAATCATATTATCCATCACCAATTCTCATCAAACATAACATGATATTCATCACTCCTTTATCTGCCTCCCTCACATTTCCTCTCTCTCTTCTCTGTTCTTCTCTTGTCCGTCTTCCAATCCTACAGCAATCCCTAGCAACCTCACCAGAACTTCCCTAACACAAGCGTTAATCTTGCAATCAATCAGTATATAAATGCATGCAACTCCCGTCTGTCTTCTCAACTGTGCGTTTCAATCCCAATTCCAATTCCAACTCCAAACAATTCAACTGTTCATCCCTTTCTTTCCCTCCTCTTTTTCTTTCTTTTCATCTCCTCTACAAAATATCCTCCCGTTCTCTTTCTCCTAAAACGCCTGTGTAAAAATGAAAAAGGGGGTATAAATTGCTTCTCTCCTCGTCCTCCGTCCTCCATCCTCCGCTTCCTTTTTCTTCTTATGTATGTCATAGCTCTCATCGCCCACCGCCACCTAAGAAACGGTTTCCACATGGTCACTCTTCTGACTTCTACTTGGTATGGTAGCTAGTAACTCATGTTCCGGTGGGGATCCCGTGACATGTGTATTTTGCGAAATCCCCGAATCTAAACGATCTGATTCGGGTATTGTGGCGGGATATGAAATTTCCGGATCTGGGACTTGAATATCGAGCTATTTGATGTACATCAGTAAGGGCTTCTCCTTCCCACATAGAGGCGAGCCAAAAGATGTCTGCTAGGGGAAAACTCACATTCATATATCCCGTTCTCCTCAAGCTCACGATTTTTGGAGCTGTTCCCGGCTCCTTTGCCCTCGATTCCATATCTCTATTCCATTCCTCCAACCACATTTCGACACGATTCAACCGAGACTTCACCCCCGTCCAGCCCAAATCATCCCATACCCAACCCGTCACCAAGCCCATCAACCCATCGAAGATATTTCTCGCACCCCAAGGATTAAAAGCCGGTATTAATTCATTGTTAATCCTCTCAATCAAGCCTCTAAAATCCTGTTCTGTAACCCCGGCCGGATCCAAAATTTCTGGATACAAATTTGAAAATGTAGGCGCGAGATCTCCTTCCAACATCCAATCACGACGAATACGTATTATGCGTGTTGTATTGTATAAAGGCGATGAGAGTGGAACATGCATATTCATATGTGGAAAGCATGGATGTTGGGGACCCCAAGCATCATCATCTCCCTCCCCTGGCTCTTCCCCAACTATCGATGTGCCATTTGAGGATAATGCGGAACCGATACCGCCTGGCAATGAAATGTTTGAATCGTTCGCATGTGGTATTGGCGATGTGCCAGATGGATTATACGGATTGAGGGTATTGGGACCGCGCTCGAGGTCCGTAGACATAGCTGCTTTACTGAAATCGAAAGAGATGCCCGAGACAGGTGTCGGAGTAAGTTGTCTTCCTTCTGGAGCCCTTCCAGTAAGCTTCTCCAATGTTGTCGCAACAGTTATAACAGGCTCTTCTTCGACAGCTTTTCCCTTACCCTTATCAAGTTTTGGTCCGGCAGTAGGTGTAAGAGGAGAATCACCGCTTTTTCGATTTCGCGCAAGGTCTATGCTAACCGTTCTTGGTAAAGATATTCGATGCGAACTCAATGAACTTCCACTCCTATCAACCTGTAAACTTGCCCTCGTAGATGCGGAATGTCTTTGTTGTCGCTGTTCCGGTAACGTTAATAATGGGTAATCGCCTCCAGCACTGGCTCCCTCCCGTAAATTTGATATATCTGGATGTTGAAGGGGTATCGCAATAACCGGTCGTTCTTCCGGCGGTGACTGATGTCTTTTTGGAGATGGCTGAGGATATGCTCTCGGGGTTGAATTTGTCGGATTCCACAATCTAGATGTACTTGGTCTTCTCGGTCTCCCCCTTGAAGTACTTCTTGAGCCAGCACGAGGTCTAAAGGGATTTGGGAAGGTTTCGGTTGTACCAGGATTTGCAACACCTTGTAAAGCGTTCCTCCAACTATACCTCGTAGGACTACTTATTCGAACTTGTGGTTGATCGCGATTGGTTGGCACAGGGCTTGGTGATGGATATGGAGGTTGATGACTTGGGGATGGAATTCTCGCGTTTCCAATCGCTGATGGAGGGGCATTTGGTCGATTGGTAATTTCTATGGTGGATGGAGATATGGTGGTCGGTAGGATTGAAGTGTGTGACGCCGTTGGGAATTTGCGGCCGGATTATTGGCCGCTATTTTTGATAAGCGCAAGTCTCTTTTCTTCCTCTTCTCCTGCTTCTCCTCAACCTTTTCCCCTTCCTCTTTCCGTATTTTCGTTATTATGATTATTATTATTGATGATTGATTTTTGTTTAGACGACTTCGAAGTCGAATAGATATCGAAATTTTGAAATTTGTACCCTTCAATTGAAAGGATTCTTCGTGGGGAATTGTAAGGGGATTCGTACTAATGCAATGTGATGCAGTTAGATAGGAGTCCTGCAGGAATTGAAGTTTTTGATTCGCTTGTTGGGTTGAGTGTGATGAAATGCCTGAAATGCCTGATATTTCAGTAAATCTCTTCTTTTCCATTTCGATTGTGCATGTCTAACTGTGGTCTTGGATTTGGATATCTTTCAGAAAGGACGATTTATATATGTGCGTATATGGTTCAAAATGTTTCGAAGATTCGGGTTCATGTGGATGATAGATATGCTTTGTAAAGGGGAAAAAAGCAAGACGGCTGAGGAGTACGCTCGTCGCTCGGTAGGTATACGAAGTGGTGTATAAATATATAGAAAAGTCAAAATGGAATAATCTAGTTAAATTTCTGCCGTCATCGATGAAAAGTCGGGGGAATAGAAGTAGGTACAGTAGTACAGAAATCACAGGCTAAGAACTGAAGTCCAAGATATCTCGGTGAAAGCAAGTAGAAAGTAAGCAAGCAGATCCAAGCAAAGTTCAAAGTTCAGAGTTCAGAGTTCAAAAGAAAAAGAATCAAGTCTCATATAAAATATGAGATGAATTCCAATTTCGAAAGTGTACATACATCAACGATATCTTATCATATCTCAACCACCTGGTGTACCTAGTATTTCCATCCCAAGTCACGTCTCTCAATAAAATTACTCGCCTCAACTCATTCAAGCCCCTGGATCTATACCCAGGCAGCTAAAAGCATCTTTATATTTCAACCTTGAAACTTTGGGGACATAAAGCCTGGGTACATTAAATTTCCTGTTCCTATTTGGTCATTTGATACCAACGTTTATGGTTCACTTCATTATTAATCTCTATCTGCCTACGTTTCTACTACTTACCTGCTCATCTCTAAGGTTCTCGAAGCAAGGGCAAGCAATCAGCCAGTAGCTACATAACCACAGCACCACCAAGGAGCATCTAAGCCGACACTACGCCATGCTCAGCTCCTTTGGGGGGGATAGACTTCACATTTGTGCGCTGTAGCAGCAGTTTCAAGTGTGCTGCTAAAAAGTACCAAATTAACCAGCTATAAAAGCAATGGCCAATCCAACCCTCAAGGATTTTCAAATATTGATATTGATTGGCCATCCAAAAGAAGCCCTGAAAATATATCCTTCATCTAAATTTTTATGCCAACTTATCATTAGTTGGTGAACTTGAGTCTCGAAATTTCCAAATGTCTGAGCGTACAGGGCCAGGTCTAGGTATGGGATGCTACCACTGATAACCTCCAAGTATGTCATCACTGATTATATGATTGATATGATTTATTCTCTTGCTTCATAGAGAGTTTCTAGTTGGTTCGAAATTACTGTACGTCGTTGGAACTGGACTCAAAATCAATCCTTTTCCAACTTTCAAGATTCGACTCAATCCAATCCCTCGGAAATGAAATGCTAGCTCATCCTTCCCGAGTTTTACCCCTGAAAGCCTACATATCGATAGCTTCAAGCTAGCGCTCTCACCAATAACTTCTAGATCTCCGGGAAAAAATTAGGTTACATGTCAAATCATAATCCTAAGATCTTCAAAAGATTCGATTATACTTTCAGCCTCGTTACACTTATCAGCCCCCAGCTCAATATACGAAATTGCATTGAGAGGGCATAATGCCAGCATATGACGTTGATAATTGAAGGGACCACCACCTCATGCTTTAATGGTCTCATCTATATTTATCACAGCAAGCCTTGCTAAGGCTCCAAGTTTTTCATCTGATCTAAACTGAAAAAGAAAGGACTTTTGTTAAATGCTAAATCCCTGATACTGTTTGGATCCATGTTGTGTATGGCATGGCGATATAAATTATCATAGCCACTTTTCCGGTGTATCCGAAATGTGAGACTCGATTGACAGCTTGTGAGACTAGATTGGCAGACTGTAAGAATCCATTGACAGATGAAAGTTACAAGACTACATTCTCGTATATGGTAGAATGGGCATGTCCGGTCACGGAACTGCAAATTATCACCTGATCTACGTATTTCACAGTAACCTTCCTAACCTCAAATAATACATAACACTGCCAACCAATATTCAGATCAAATCAACATTTTCATCCCAAATGTTACTCCATTTCACCAAATCCCATTGTACACCCACCACTTTCTGCCCAATGCCTCACTCAGACATGACACATGTGACAACACCCAAGCATCAAGGATCACCAACTAGATTCACCAAATGAATATCAGTGGACTCCATGCATACTTCTAACTGGTACCCGTAATCAAATTTCCTTCCAGAAGAATATTCGAAGCATGCGGGTCCGAAACAAATTACAAATTGAATGATCAGCAGAATGGCGGGTGATGATCTGTTTTTGAACTTTGTGTACGAAGTACGATGTTTTTACTCTGTACTCTAGTTTACTGCGTGCGTTATTCAGTGTTGGGATCTGGGGAAGATGGGTTGGATTTGGACTTACATTTCGGTGTTTCAATCTAGTGATCGACTTATTAACAGTAGAGTTCAGGAAGAAAATCGGGAAAATTAAATTTCACAAGCAACGGTGTAGTGTAATAGATAATTAAATCTGCCATTATTAACGAGGCTATCTATGCCTGTCGGCTCCTAGATACCTCTCCCCCAAGATTGATCACCAAACTAGTATATCCAACTTTGTGGCAAACACTATATGTGATGGATTTTCTCCTATTCCCACCAGTGCCAGTGCCATGTCCATCCATAGGGGGTTCTCCCAAAGCAGTTTATCAGTAAATCCGTATCTCCAGTATCGTTGATCCCATTGCATTTGATAATGCATGTTGTCCTGCTTCCCAACTCATGTATCGTGTTTTCATCCAACACCATTTCCAATCCAGCTATATTATCTCCCCAAATCGTAGATATACATATATACAAGAATTTTATCTCAACCGTGTTGTCCAGCAAATTCTAGACGTCTAGTTCTATCTCATCGATCCAAAAGTTAAACCATTAAGAATTACCCTTCACTTTCAGTCCTATATTTCGTTCCTCGCCACCTTGATTCCCAAATCAAAGCACTTTCCTCGCCTCATCTTGCATCCGACTCATCATTTTTCTATGCAACTCTTCCATCTCCCCACCAGCTGTCCTAATTTTTCCGTCCCATCTCTCTTCCCTCATTTCCCTTGCCCTCCTCTCCCCTTCTTTTCTCATTTCCACTGTTTTTCTCTCCTGCCAAAGTACACTCCTCCTATTATCCACTGTCTCCATTTCCCTCTTCTTCTGCACTTGCAAATCATTTGCAATACTGTTTCTCCACATCGCCAATTGCTGTTCTCTGACCAGTGGGGTTTGAATACTCGATGTGCGTTTCGGTTGATGAGAATTAAGGTTTGTATTGGGCGCAGCTAGAGGTTGAGACGTAGATTGACGAATGAGTTCGCGACGCTGAGAAAGTGGTATATCGTCGTATTCGGGAAGGATTGGGGCTGATTTGTTGAAGTGATAAGACCGTAGAGGGCTATGAATTGACTCGGTTTCGCCACCCATTTGAGAATGTGATGCAGATTGAAATCGCGAGGGAGATTGTGGATTTTGTTCAAGTATCGGCATGGAATGTGTAGAAAAATTTCTCGAAGGGAAGTAAGATGATCTATTGCGGAGCATTGTGTCTCGTTTTTCCATTAGTGTATTAGAATTTCCGAATGCAGGGGGAATCGATTGCGAAGAATGTTGTTGGGAAGATAAAATTTCTTCTCCGGGTGATTCGACTATTGGCTCTGGAATGTTTGGATTTGAAGCATTGCGCAATGATCTATGCACTTCAGATCCTCCTAATGGTTGTTGCGAGTTTCGTGTAGATGAATCCTGTCCATGAATGGGAGAACCCTCGGGTATCGTCGCGAAAGGCGTGATATTTGATTGGGTTGAACTTGACCGGATAAGACCTGGAGAGATTGATTGCTGAGAAGACGATCGTACTGCTGGTGGTGGAAGAGCATTATGAGCTGTTTGCTGTAGTGCTTCGACATCCACGGGAACAGCCGATTCAGATTTAGGATCCTCGGAAATATTTTCAGAAATATCCAATTCTTCCAATTCCGGTGAGTCTGCATGGCTCAAATGTTTGGCCCACTCATTGGTACGATATGACATGACAACTTTTGAAAACTGGGCAGGCAATTGATCCTTCGTGATTTTCGTGGTCTTTGTGTCAGGCGCCGATGTAATGGATGACTCTGTCTTAAGTTTTGATTCAAATTCATTGTCAGCATCTTCAAGACTTTCCCCAGCAGCGGAATTCGATGTGTTTGGTACTGGATCCCCAGACGTTGTTAGAGAGTCCTGTTGTGGCATTGACTCATTCGGGGATGATTCATTTCGGGGAGTGTTGAGAATATCAGTGGCAACAGTAATTCCCGACTCTGGCCGAAGCTCCAAACTCTGCCGCACATCAGACGTTCCACTAGCCTCCTTATTATCTATATCTTCAGTCGTGGAATCCATTGGAGACGAAGGAAGTTGTCCTGATACAGTTTCTTCTGTTTCATTCGTCACCTTCACTGTCACCAGCTCTGGAATTTGCTCGTTATTTTGATCATCCTGTTCAGGGAAGTCCACATCCGGTATAGGTGTGCCTTGACTAACAACTGATGATCGTATACTTCCTACCTCCCTGTCTTCATCATCGCTGAGATCATCCACAGTTGCCGCGATAGAACTTGCGCGATCAGTCTCATCGGCATAAGGGGTCGCCAAATCCTCTGTGCTGATACCTTGCTCTTCCGAATACCTTTGTGATTCTCTTTTCGATCGAGTAGAGATTTTATTCGACAATGCTGAGCCGCCACTGGATGTACGTTTCAAAGATTTGCCGTTGACCGCTAGCTCTTCGTCAGGAGAAGTAGCAATCGAAGATTGATTATCCTCCATCTCATCTTCGGGAATCTTAAAAGGAAGAGGCACTACTTCTGGTGCGACTGTCATTGGTGGAGGAGGGGCTTTACTCGTAGGACGTAGTGAAGGTAGACTTGCTAGGTGGGTGCTTTGATTGTTAATAACTACAGCTTTATCTCCAGTTGGATATGCTGATGGTTGAGATCTGCCCGATTTTTGACTCGACTGACGCGATGGGATAGCAACTTTATCTTCGATTCGCTCAACTTCGGGTGCCGCATCTCGAGCAACGCGTACTGTAACCGCTCCATCGTGCCCTTTTCCACTCAACATAACAAGACCAGTAACATTGGATCGAGTAGGTAAAGATTTGTCAGAGATTTCAACCTCTGTTCCATCGAGTTCCATAATAGAAGTAATCGTGCTAGAATGTCTTCGTTTTGAATCTTCCAAATCACCCACTACAGAATCATGTGTTGATCCATCTCCCGATTTAACCTTCTCACCGTATATTTCTTCCCATCTGTCTTTTTCTGCGGTATTTTGATCCTCAATTCTCCTTCCTACACTCATTTCCTCCTCTTCTAAAACCCTTGCGATTTCTTGGCGCTCTTCCAATCTCTGCGCACGGTGATCTTGGATCATCTTGTGGACTTTTGATTGTGACACTAGACCAACTAAGAAGATGACGAAAATTGCGGCAATCTCGACACGAATTCCTTTTGTCACGGGGTATGTAGTTGCGCCCAGTGGGAAAAGGTTCTGATTCAAATTCCAAATGTAAGCCCAAAATTCTTTTAGGCCAGCTCTACTAAAACAATCAATTCCGAGAACGATCGCTGTGGAACCGGCGAATGATATACATGCGATCAATCCATAAGTCCTAGTATAGTGACTGAAGGATAGTGAGAAAGCAGCAATACTGATTGCTGCGATTAGAATCGATTTCCCGACTGTTGAAGTGATCAATCCACCAGCTTTCATCACAAGCAGCCACATGCTGAAGCAAAAGCCCCCCAAAAGACACCCAAGGCCCTCAGTCACCTCTGTAAATATCAAAGAACACCCGCCAACGATGAGCCCAGGTAGCACAATTGCAATGAGATATGCTCCCTCGACCGCATTGCTGACGGGAAGATTCATTACAAAAAGAATCAGGACCGTGATTGCAATGCTGACAAGGTATCCTGCTGACAGAGAAATATGTAGCCATTTGTTCTTGACTCCAATGAAAGTATATAATATGCCAGTGGCGATGAGGACGATTCCTGCAATAACAAAGGCTGGTGTGATCTCGGGTTGGAGAGGTAACTCGCCGGGTGATATTGTAGCTGCTTCAATGTCAGCATCTTGTCAAAGTCTAATGAGGGTTGGCGTTTCATACAATTGAAAGCTGAATCTGTGGCGGATATACTTGTAGCTGTTGCGCTAATCGAGGATACCGAGGCGGTCGAAGTCAACATTGCTGTATTCGAAGTTGATGTGGTCATTGTCAAAGAAGTACTTTGCGAGTGTGTGATGGTTGAAGCGGACGTGAAGCTGTCATCGCTTTCTTGCGATTCTTTCGCACTACTCGAGATCGACGATGAGGTGGAGGTGATCGTCGAAGATAGAGCTACTGAGTTGTCGCGTTCCTGGACCCGAACATCCCATGGTGCAGCGAAAGCCCATTGAATCGAAGCCCCCAATACCAGCAACACGGACCCCTTGATCTGCATTGTGTGAACTCTTAGAACTAGTCCCGAATATCTAGTACTAGATCATGAGATAAAGAAAAGTAGTCCTGGTGGGACAGGAGACTATTGCCAAAGCTCCCCTCAATGTATAGACGTGTAGTGTGTATGGCTTCGAAAATTACATGGGTAGTATGGAAATGAAACACGAATATTGAGAATTGAGGAAGAAGAATGATTATAGAACAAGGTAAAGGGGGGTGTAACGAATGTTTAGAACGAGGCGTGAGGTAGTGTGCCAATAGCCTTGATGGTTCATCTGAATACAGATAAGATATGAGGAGGTATATTATATGAAGTCATGTCAAGACCCGATAAAAGTGTGGAAGGTGAAGGTACTTAACTTTGACGGACATACTAAGTGTAGGCGCGAAGGCGTTTATGAGAAATTACGCTATCCGATGATGAATCGTCTGGTACCAAAGTGGGTGGGTTCGTGCATGGTTGGTTCTTATGTGTTCTTAGAAATCAGTGTGCATGCGATGAACGATTCGACATGGGAACTCTCAACGGACCGCGGACCGCGGTGATCTACTGCAAGGTAGACTCTTCTTGGGTGTTGGTTTAAAGCAGACCCATTGACGGATACATTTGTCCTGCAGCTTGACATAATCCCCGCCTTGAAAGTTAACATCCTGCACTTACAGGAAGGCGTCTGCAATACGAAAAATATGATGCATGAAAGTAAATAATTGGGAGTGTAGGGATTACAAACAATGCGATGCAGTGCCACGAAAGTATGTATACCTTACTTTTTTTCTCTTCTTAACGTCAAAGCCACATCCAAATTTTATGGAGGGGAAATGAATTGATCTGTTCGAGAGACGATACTCGGTGAATCGGAGAAAAAAGCTTGGATTTCGGCCCAAAATAATGGGATTTCATTTGCTTGCCGTGTCTGTCAGATCTGTCTGAAATTTCTGATGGATTTGATTTGTCTAGTCGAGGTTTCAAAGATCCCATTGAATCTAATCAAGAAATTTGTGACCTGAAGTAGATTGAATATCGTATTAGACTCTTTGTAGCGAGATTAGGTTACTATCAAAAATGGAGCTGTGGGGAGATCTACCGATCAATCCGAGTACTATAGTTAGCATTGACCATACTGAGGCTGACTTATAGTAGATCAATTGATCGTCAACTTTCTTTTTTTCTTCTTTCGTTCTTTCTTTTTAATGATCCTGACCTCCCGTCTCTTTCGTCTGTTTTCTTTTCTTCAATTTTTTTGCTTTTTTCCCTGTTGTCTTGTTGAATCATAACTAACCATATAATTGAATAATTTCTTTTTTTCCCAATGTTCGGGATGAGCTAGAAGGAAGAAGATACAAAATAAGCTGTGCATTGCATAACCGGTACATATTGCTTGGACAATATATATTGCTTAACGACATTTGCTTGATGGTACATATTGCTTGGCCAGCATTAACTAGGTACCTAGGTACCTTTCGTATGCCGAAAATGGTTTCGAAAGTACAGAGTACACAGACCTAAGGAACCTAAGCACAATCAGCAGATGGTAATGTTAAGTTGAAGAATTAGATGCTAGGTAGGTAGTGTAGTAATTCCGGGAGTTGTTTCGATATTTTCAAGGAATCAATTCTCCATCAGGATTAGCTTCAGGTACAAGAGTGTCTTTTAGACCTCCCCCCTTCATTTTCCGATCTTTTTCGGTTCACTCCGTTCGCTATCCCGCTCGCACACTGTTAGCTTTCCGGTGTTCACCCGACCTATCATACTTTTGGAAAGAAGTCTCCGTTCATCGATGTAACATGCCGCACTTCTTAGAAAGGAAAAAGATCCAGTCTGAACCAATTTCAAAAGAAAATCCATTCGAACCTGTGATACAGAGACTTACAATGTTTTATGGTGTGGGGGATGGGAGGCGGGAGGGCGTTGGTGAAGAACTGTAGTCCTTCATGCGAAGTGATTCTGATGAAGCATGCAATCCATACCACGATTTCATTTTCTGCAGATTAAAAAAGTCTGGAGTACATCAACAAGTGATACAGGAACGACCATCTAGAAAGTCTCCAACCAAGATGATGGTGATAGTACAGAACATCATAAGTAACACCGTCTCGGGTAGATAAGGTTTGTGTCTGTGGTAGCTGAGACCAGCATACAAGGCATTAAAAGAGATGGTTGAACTGAAAATCTCTTGGGTAAAGAGATGCACATATGATGCTCGTATCCGTGATGACAAGACGTTATATTTATTTGGGGATCTGCTGGCATGATCTTGAACCTTTCGTGTTCGAGCATTCAAAGGGATTGGGTGACCAAAGCGGAAGTAAGACATCGCAAGGAAGCCAAAACGAGTTGGAATCTTGGAATCTTGGAATCTTGGAATCTTTTGGAGGTCGCCGATCAAATCCAAGATATCGAGATGTCAAGATATCTCTTCCTGCGACGCTGCATTCCAAGAAATCCTCGTTCAGGTGTCAATAAAGAATGGCGTACGTTCAACTGCGTAAATGTAAAGACGCAACATTCCCAATGATATCGATCCTACTTCATTTTGAATGCCGTGTGGTTGTATATCAATCGGAACGCCTACAAAGTTGGGTTAAGTGATCTCTCAAAGGATTCAATGGCGAAAGTAGTATATCTTCCCAAATATCACATCAAGCGAGGATTCCCAATAAAATCGATGTTGCTTTATCTTCAATGCTGTGTCATCGGTCGAAATTCTCCCTTGGTTAACAAATGATGAAGTTTCCCCGATCTTAACACAACGAATCCCAATGGAATTAATGCTGCTCGTCGCTTGCTGCTTGCTGCTTGCTGCTTGTTGCTTGTCGTTTTATATCTTCAATGCTGTGCTTTCAATCGGAATTTATACCTCAATACCTGGTAATTGCAACGATCTCAAAGGTAAAGAATGAAAGCTAAGTCTTCCCCAGGTTTTCATCCTCAGTTGTTTCAGTTGACAGAAATCCCAATGGTATGGCCCTTCTTGTGAACCTCGAAATGCTCATAAGTGCACGCACCGTTGGAATAATTGATCCTTATGCCTCAGGCAAAAGCTCCGATTCATCTCAGATTTTATGCCCACCAAAACACAGAAACCGCGATAAGAAGAAAAAAATCAAGGTCGATTACTTCACATTCATTAAAATTCCACATTCTTTCCATAAACCAACTTCAAGTCTTCCACTCCTCCAGAACCGTCAAGATGTTCGCTCTCCGCCGCAATATTTCATCCACCCTCTCTCGCAGCTTCTCCACCAGCGCTCGCAATAATTCCTTCGCCAAACTCACACTTATTGGCCGTCTTGCTGATAAGCCTGAAATAACTGCTACAAGCCAAGGACAAGAAATTATGAAATATGCGGTTGGTACTAGCACTGGCAGAGGAGAGAATCAGAAGACTAGTTGGTTTCGGGTAGTGAGCTTCTTGCCAGAAGGACCACAGAGAGATTTCATTTCGAATTTGGAGAAGGGGTAAGTTCTTTTGATCTGTTGATATCTGGAGAGAAATTTATCTAGGAAGAAACCTCTCCAGTATGGGTACAACTCATATGTGAATATTGGCAGAGGCAGAGGCAGATGTTGAGCTCCGAAATCCAAAAGAAAAAAAGGCTATCTCAAAGGTATCCAATGCTGATGCGCGTTTAGAACCTTGGTATATGTAGAAGCTGAAGCACAAATGAATAACTACCAAGATGCCGATGGGAAGAACAGAAGTTCTATGAGCGCAGTTCAACGTAAGTACTCCCTCTAAAATACCATTAATCCTTACCAAAGCACTAGCTAACCCAAATCAAACAGAGAAAATCGACGTCCTCCAATACAAGAAGCCTCAAGATGCAAGCGCATAGATCAAATAGACATGAATATATGAATTCTATGAAAGTCGGAATGAATGATGGGATGTAACAAGACTTACTTTTCGATTCGCGTGTGTGTGTAATATCGAATTTGGGCGGCGCAAAAGGTACCATACTTTCAAGGCAGTATGTAAGGGAAGACGTTGAAGAGAATATCTCCAGTCGAGGCACCTTTTCCAATATGGGTATCACAAGTCAGCTACCATCTCAAATCTTGAATTTATCTTCTTCACTTCACATTTGATTCGGTCATTGATTTCAATTTTGATGATTATAAATTACTGAAACATGCAATTGCTAATATTATCCATTGTGCTATCCTCTCACATTTGTGTAAAGAACATGGGAAACTCTCCTTCTGATCTAGAACGAGCAAAAACCATGTTCAGAGGCTGGCATTATCCAAAAAGAACCAAAAAGCAAATAAGGAAATGAAACAACGCGCTGTGTCTGCCAGTCTAATAACTGCCATCATATGGTATCTTCCAGCACCAAGAGTGGAAAAACGGACACCTTAGGGTTAGAGTTCCCTGTATTGAGGCGTTTCGTTTCTTTCCAATCCATAAATAAAAGGATCATACAAGTTGCAGACACAGGAAGCAAGCGCACAAGAAACTCCAGACTGCTATGATCGTGCCGATATAATGCAGAGTGTCGAGCATGAACCAAGAGCCACTGTTGACTTCACCCATTCAAATCCCAAATAATACCATCAAAAAACGGTGGGAATCGAACCCACCAAGGAAAGAAGTCGTAGCTCAAGGTCATGATGACAACAATTCCACAAGCTGCTCCAGGAATCACGACACCAATTCAACTGAGAGCCCATCATCAATACTAGATTGTTCAAAGATGGCATGAACAACCAGTCCAGGAAGTTTGGCGCCATTATTTTTCCGGCACCGCCCCTCTTATCCGCCAGTCAAGGAGCCCTAACGCTTCTTGGCGGCGGGTTGGTCTTCTGGGCCACCATCGCGCTTTTCGTGAGCGGAATTTGGGTCACCAGCGGGACCATTCCCGTCGCCATCTCGATGCGATCTAGGGCCCCTCTTGCCCTTCTTTGAGTCTGGCTTAGGGGGGTCCCAAGGCTGTCTAAGACGCCAAAGACACTCACCCTGCCTCGCCTCATCCCCAACAATGTTTGCATCACCCTTCTTGATGAACAAGTCATTGTATTGAATCTTGGACATAGTCTGGCGGATAAGAGCCTCCGTACTCTCCCACTGCTTGACATACTCGTCGCTTCCTACCACTAGTACGCCAAACTTCTTGGCACACGGTTCATACATTCTTGTGTATGCGTCAACAATGACCCTGTTGTTGGTCCAACCGTTCCGTCCTAACAAACCAGCCAAAAACCAGGCATTGAGCCCCTCACGGGCTCCTGGGTGGGCCCTGAGCAGCCAAGCGCGGGAACCAACAACATCGACCTCTCCAGGAACAAAAACGTATTTGCCCTGCACGTAGTTCAGGGAGGGATCTTTGTTGCTGGTTCCCGGCCAGATAGCTTTCAAAAAGGTCAGCTTTTGATTCTCCCAAATGAGGAGGGATGACAGGCAAGGAGGTTCTTACTCAAAGGTTGGTGACTACCAGTTATGGCCTTAGGGTTCCCTGGCCACGAAGGGACTGGTTGCTCTTCAACAGGGGTAGCAACTACAGCTGGGGCATTACTACCAGCTGGGAGAATGCGAACAGGGAGAGCGGGTAAATGGGCAGGGGCAGCGGGAAGGGGAGGGACAGCGGGGAAGACGGGGGCAGGATTCCCGATAGGCAGATCTAGTACGATTATCAGCAAACAAAACAATGCAAACAGGAGCAGTATGAAGTTCCGGCCGATAGGATTGAGATGAGGATGTGACTAAGGGGAGGGCGAGGAGGCGAGGGGGTTTGATAGGGTTGACTAGATACTAACCGAGGTTGATATAACGGCGAAGGTCCGCAGCGTCGATTCCAGGTATGTTAGATGCCATTTTTGATTGAATGAAGATGTTGTAAATGGTTGAGATTTACTTAAAGATGATTGTAGGATGAGTTACGAATGTGATGAATGTGATGAATGTCAGCTACTTGAATTCGAGATTACTGGGGTCTGAGAGAGATACTTATACCTTAATTTTTGAGGACACTTCTTCGATTTGCATTCAGACTGACTACAAGTTTAGTAGTATCTAGATCAACTAACTAATGAAGAGAAAATTTTCATCAGCCAAGGTGATACTTACTTTGGTCCGTTGATTTAACCAAACCTAATAATCCAGTATGATAGACAACCGTTTAGCGGTAAACGTATAGCATTATGAGCATTATACGAGGCATGTTTGAAGTGTTGCATATCTACATGACCGGAGTTCCTAAGAAACAAGGTTAACGTGCCTTTTAGACAGTATTTTCAGAGCTCTTTGATATTTTGGGGGCGGGTGCTTCCGAGTTGAGTCACTTTGAGTTCTTTCTGGATCTAGAGACAACAAAACAATAGGTGCTGACTTAGTGTTGACGTTATTTAATATCGAATTCTGATACGATTCAACCAAAGCTTGAGACCCTCGATGGCAACAGGCAAGTGTTGACGAAACTTAATATCAACCCGCAAGTAGCGCAAGCGCGCTCTGGCAACAGCGAGCAACAACTAGCGCGGCACCAGTCTTGAGAGCCATTTAGTTTTCATTAATAATGAGAAGTTTGTCTTCTAATAAACATCCAAGAGCTTGCTCTGTCGAGTGATCTACTTCACCGTTCCGTAGCGTGCTGGGTATCAATTTGATGAGAAAATTCCAAGTAATGTTGCTATCTTTTCCGCATATCAATATCATCACAATGGGCTTCTATACAGCCCTCAGAATATATGTTACGAATAGTGTCAAGTTCAGGATCGTTAACTCGCTTGGCATGCGTACTCAAAAATATCACCATACGCTTATTTTCGCAGCCGATATTTTGGACGGATACAAATCATGGATTTCAAGATCAAACCCAACACTCAAATTCACAATAGCTCATACTATAGTTGACTCATAATGCCTGGCTTTTGATCTAGGACCCCCCTCGAGCTGTATCGAGCTGTTGTCGATCAAGGTTTTATAAGCTAGAACCATCTAATTTACATGCTAGCGGACACAACTAAGCCAAATTCCTGATCAACAGATTCCTCGATTTCACTACATCTCTAAGAGTTACTGAACATCACTGGATGACGATGTATATAAATCCTATCGAAATTTACAACTCTAATTCTCCAGAAAGCAGAGTGTCAAACGATGCCCATGAACAGACCCATCAAATTCTTCCATCGCTGTGAAATCGAGTTTGAAAACCCCTTGCTCTCAAGTGAGTAGATCACCCATATGATAAGAATAAACTTCGTGTCAACATCATAACGGGAAAGTGATATCATATGACTAGTCCAGATGGAAACTGCACGCCAATTATGCAAGACATTCATCAACTTATCTGAAGAACCCCGATTTACTCCGATTGATGATCTGGGATTTCAATTATCAAACCAAGATACCAAGGAACCAAGGATACATACTGAAATTGCGTGATCATTTGGAGAGTCAAGAAAAAAACGTCTGGCATGCACTCCGGCTTGCAGATTGGGCCAAGCATATCCATAGTCCCAGACCTCATCATATTACAAATAATTTGTGCATTTCTATACTGAAAAAGCAGCGTGAGTGGGAAGTGTTCAGTTATGAAGATCTTCTTGAAGAAGAATAGGCGGAGATAGTCTGTTTATTGGATTGGACAGATAACGGTGAGGAGTCTATTCTGTGTGAGTTGCTTGGTTCTTACCCAGATGTTGACGGTCAAGAATTCGTGTTGGTGTACTTGTTGACGTAGATCCCGAATGTCTAACCCATGTTGATTTGAGAAAGCAATTCTGTAGGTAATGATGCATGATGAACAGTGCTATCGAAACATGCCGACCAAAGAATGAAGTTCTACACATATAACATCAAGAAAGTTTGTATTTAGACAAAATAAAACTGCATGAAACCTGTAAAATATGAAACATGAGGAGAATTGACAGAAGGAAATTTACATATTCAAGGATTCGTTCACATTCAAGAGGATTATTCGAGTCGGGTTTACATAATTTTTACTCTATCCATGTGACTATCATCACAATGGCACCGGGATTCCTTTCCCCTCAATAGAAATATTTTCCAGTACTTTTGTGGATTTAATGATACCAGTACCACAGGTACTTGGCAGGTAAATCAGATCATGATATTTTCTGCTGATCTACCCTATATAACAATGCCGCAGGAGTGTAAGAAAATAGATGAAATGCAAAATGAAACGTCTGATTGATTCCGTATGACTTATTACTCAATTACCGATCCCATGGTGATATGTGAGCGACGAGGTCTATGAAACGCGAGATAATCGTTTAACCCATTGTGTCGAGTTCGAAGAGTGCATGGGGGATGGCGAAAATAATGAGCAAAAGTGTCGCAGAGGAGGCGGCGTGGCGGGCGAAGGGGAGAGATTCAATGAATGGTGCAAGAACGAGAGGATATGAGTTGCGTTCGGAAGTTTTATGTTGAAAGGCATGGGGTACACGCAGCGGACGTGCGGGAGAATTGGGAACAAAGGCGGAAGACTATTCTGAGAGGAATCATATGTGGGACCAAGGGAATGAAACATGCATGGGAAACAATGCGGGGTGACTGCTGTAAGGGAACAAATTGGTGACACGAAAGGTGCGCGAACGTATTGTAGAAAGCTCCTGAAAAGCTAGATGTGCAAGATCGCATGCAAACTAATTGAAAGATTCAAAGCCAACCAAGAGAGATACTAGGAAAATGATGGGATATGATAACGTAACAATGAACACATATTCAATTGTCGGCTATAATTGCTGGACTTTGCATATTGTAGGTCTATGGTCGCTATTTCCTCATGATATTTTGCAGTCTCCATTGGATTTTAAGTTTGACTCCGGCTCGAGAGCAGTCAGCGTCTGAGCTAAAGGAAATATCGTCAACAAGTCTGATTGCAGGTAAATTCGATCAAGCTCCTTATTCATCTGAGTCGTGTAACCTGCTGGTAAATGGTATCTGGAACGCAGAGAATCTGACCCATGCAACTACTTCATTAATTCTTTGACCAGAGTGGCTAGATGAGATCTCCATTGTAGATTTTGGCAGTAAGGATATTTTCACATACAGGCTCGTGACCCCACTACCATGGTAGTACCTAGTACTCACAATAAAGAGAGACCATTTACAATCACCGGAATCGATGGCCAAAGATTCTCCGAATTTCGGGTTGATTTGCGATCAACCAAACTATCGGTCATTCACCTTTGATTTTTAACTGCTCGAATGCAAATAATAGAGTCGTCTAAGCTGCGGGGTAAAGCAAATACATGAAAGTGGTCCTCGCCCAATACTACTGAGCTTCCAAAAGATCAACATTGATGAATAGTCACCTCTCTTTCTCCGACCCTTAGATCCGGATTATTCACAAGAGCAACCTGGATCTAATCTCATGAGTTCCTAAGACTTTTCGTGCTTACATTTAAATCGTTATTCATCTCTCTATCTAAGTTGGAGATTCTATCGAACTCTAATTTGCACTGAAAATAGAGCAACTGCTTCATTTCCAATATATTCGGCCCATTTACTGATTTTAAATTTCATGCTATAGCCTTATTCAGTCCAGAGCGTTCGTATAGAACCACTGAGTATTGATGTGCATTCGGAAAACAAAGCGACTACTTTGTTTGCCTTTGACTTGGTTAAATTGACGATTTTACTTTACTAGACGCAAATTCGGACATGATGATAAGATCACGAATAAAATTCTTGATGAAGTTACAAACGTCAAGAAATTTACACAAAATTTGGCTTTTTTTATATTCGAAATCTCAAAAACGATCACCTACCTATTCTCAAAAACTCCAAGAAATGGGGACTTGGGTCATCTCAACCCGTCGAAGTCTCGGCATGAATCTATGGTGATTCAAAAACTTATGTTTACCTTTGTGTGGTTCATTTACCCGGTACATTCTTGAGTCTATTGATCTCTGGAGTGCATGTAATGGGACCTGAATCTTGTTCCTGCACCGGGAATAGGAATTGTGTGGCCCCAAGCTTGAAAGCTAGTTTCCTTGGCGCCCATGAACATTTACTTTGATAAGGTTCACGAACAAAACATAACACACATGACGCCTGTGGAACTCCTTCATACACGTACAGTAGAAGTAAAATGTAAAATAAATAAAAAATGTAAAGGATGATAGACATGTACAATGACGACAGTGGTAATGGTATAAAAGGAGGCATGTCGTTGTAAGCGAGTTCATAAGTTTTCACCGGGAATGCGGCTACTAAAGTTTTCCTGGATTACTAATTGGGTTGATGTGCCTTCTATTAAGCGCGAGAAGCGTGTTCGAATGAAGGATACTTCTAACGCGTCATATAAGATTCCGGTCTAGTTTAGACGGCTGCTTAATGAGTTTGCCGAAGAAACTCCTGAATGACTTGTGGCTGAAGCTATGCGTGGGACATGCTAGGTTTGTTCAGGTCACCGTATCTAGTTTTTTCCTCGAGTCTCAAAGCCTTTGCTGTATTGAGAATAGATCTGATTGAAATGTGGCTGAGTATATGTTTGGACCATGTGTTTCGGTCGCCGTATCTAGTCTCCCTCTCGACTCTAAAACTTTGCTGTATTGAGGATAGATACTAAACAAGAGCCACACTATCCATAGACCCAAAACCAGCAGCCACACCACCCTCTTCACTCTTATCACCCTTTGTTCGGAGAAGGTACCCTGCTTCCTCGTTATATAAAATTTGCGAGGTTGTTTGATCCCATAGACATGTTCCGTAAATACCAAGTTCACAGATTACACCACCCTTTTCAATAACACCGTTTCTCAAAATCATGTTGTGAACAGGTGGGGGAGTGATGATTTCCATCAGGATATAGGATTTCCAATGAGACTCTGGAAGGGACTTGAGGAATGGAGGAATTGCGGAGCGGTAGATATTATTGCCGCCGCCTTCTCGTTGAGGTTTGAGGACATATTCGTTACAGCGTTTTGGATCGACAGCGATTTTACGGGCTTCGAGTCCTGCTGGGGTTTCATCGAGTGGAAAAATGTTTGTAAATGTGTCTTCCAATTTCTCGAGATCTGTATCATTTGTCTTGACGAAGCGATCTAGGATTGAAGGTGTAGAGGGACTTCTTGGTGTAGCAAGTACTTGTTGAACTTTCTTGGCTCCAGCCAATTGAGTCAAAATTGATGGGCATTTAATTGCATTTGACCGCTCGATTTGAAAACGACCTTCCCAAGCAGATTCAGTTGTGTAATCTTGAGGACCATATCCCGCACGGAGATAGACAACAGCAACCTCAAATTTCTTCGAGGGATTGCTTGGTGGTGAGTATAACAACTCTCTCTTTGGAGTTTGAGCTATTGTGGTATGGGTGAGAACCTCTGAAAATGCTAGTCGAAATACTGGTACACCGTGCTTTTGAAGTTCATATTCAAGGTGTCTTTGATCAAAGATATTTCTTTCTGGTGTTTGAACCAAGAAGATTGTGCAGTAATTGTAGTGAGACTTTGGGGTAGCACCCTTGTAGTGTTCAAAAGCCGATAACAATCCTAATGCTAATGATCTGGTACTTGTATTCTCAGGGAGATTGAGTGATTTAGTTGCATCCTTATTTAAAAGGCTATAATCACCCAAGGAAAGATATCTAACAAGATGGTCAGTCATGCAGAAATTATTCCAGTATTGATAGACACAAACTTATGCAATTGTGAGGTTTGTGAGGATAATCCCCCAAATGAAGAAGCAATGGTATTGAATTCGACCTGCTTGATCGTAGGGGTCGCATCCGATGTTTCCTGATGAACCATGTAATCTGATCGGAAGAGGCCCAAAGAAAGATTCTTTACAGTCAGTATTCCTCAATTAATTGGAATTAATTTGGTGGTCAAGATAGTATACCTGAACATAACCTTCACTCTTAACTTTTACATGAACACGCCAAAGTTCGGCAATGAAATCATCTACTTCGAGGATTCTACGAATAGTTAGAATTTACGCAACGCACATTGAAACAGAAAATTGGTAAAGTGGAATTCCATTGAATCTTCTTACTCTTGAACGATATCTTTAAGAAAGGCCTCATCTTGAGAAATCGATGCGTATAAGAGATTGTAAGCTCTCTGGACTGATTTTGCTTGCTCAAAGCATATTTGAGGAAAGGGACTTGGAAAGAGAGTGACTGGAGCAGTAGTTGCTAAAACACCATGAGGATCTGCTTCTGTAGGCAAAAATGCCGGTGGAGGTCTTACGGCCAATCCATGAGCTATAGACCAGTCTTTGATGGTTACGAGAAGTTGTTCCGATTCTTTTGTCGAAATCTCGGGAGGATATGAAGATGCCATGATGAGAGTGATGAGCTACAGTTTCGAAGGTTGATTGAAGAAATCAGTGTATGGTCGGTATGGAAGGTTATGTTGTCCTAGGAAAACGACGATAAACACACAAATGATGTCTATGGCATCAAGGTTGAGAAGATTCGATAATGATATCGGTAGTCTTCTGCTGAGATAATTTGTCATCACATCAGTCACGACATTGAAGAAATAGGTCGATCCACTTCGAATGAGATCTTATTAGTGGGGAAAGGTTCACAAGGCTGAATGACAATTATGCAAGGCTAAAGCTACCGATAACGATAAGAAATGCATGCAATCATCTTACCAATATTATGCTTTTAGAAAGTTCATCAAAGAGATATTTGATACCTAGGTATGTACTTGGTAAGCCTTTGGAATACGAATTCTAGTAGAAATGTCGACTTCTCAAATATGAAACAATTCATTCTTCTCTCAGGATACAGATGCAAGATAACCTCGACAGCATAGTGCTGAGCTTTGTTATCACCACGTGATTGTCATCAGGGTCCACTCCTTGATCAGATAAGTCGCAAGGCTGGAGACCCCTTAGATTATAGCAGCAAGCACGCATTTTCGTGATTGATGGCCCGCGAAAGCTCGCGTCAGTCTTCAAATCAACTTCAATTTCTTATTTTCAGGCTCAAGCTTCCCCTCAACTTTCCCCTCTTGTCCTACCCCTCCTATCTCTTCAAGTTCAACTTAACCGCCGTCTCTACGATTCTAGAATAGCAATTTGATCAATTTCATGCCACAACACCTTCTCATACGAAGAGAGAGATCTCGCATTATTTGCTTCTTTCTAATACCACTCATTTATTCTTTTTCCAGGAGCGCAGAGCCGCTATCTAAAAGGTTCCCGTCGTACCATTGGTATTTATTTACATGACTTCAACTTTAACAATTTCAACAGCTCGACCCATTCTCTACCAATTCACTTATAGCTCGATCTGCGAATGATCCTTAGACAAAACGACGATTGAACTCTTGTTAGATACTTCAATTTAAACCTTCTACTAAACCTCGCACTCTCTCCAAAGTGAGCAATCCACATCCTTCCCACACGTTACCTCCAACCTCTACTCTTCTTATCAATTTATTCTTCTATATTTAATAAATTCAGCCTCTCAGAATAGAGGTGTTGCTCTCCGCCTTCATTTATGACCATAACTAACCATCTTCCTATAGTTCGCGAGTCTCGAATTCTTCGTTGGCTATCACAGCTACCACTTCCGTCGCCAAACCTTTCCTCATGTCCAACAGCGAACTTCGATCACCTTAATACAAAAATGGAGGACGATGACCCCTGGTCATGGTCGACTGACAGGATAGTTCAAGAGTTTTGCACCGACCAACGATCTTGGGAACTTCGCGCAGCCTCTACTCGTACACCGGACCCTGTGTTTTTAGAGAAAGCTTTTCGGGAGAATGAAATCACGGGAGATATCCTTCTAATTGAAATTGATGATAAGAGTCTACGGGAAGATCTTCAGATAACCAAACTTGGCTGGCGGTCTTTCATTCGATATGGCATAGAGCAACTTCGCGAACGAAGCGCGAAATATAAGGTCTGGTTGGATAAAGAACGTGCTTCTGCTTTGGTTGCAGAGAGATACAGTAATAGCTTACCAAGTGTATCTTCTCGTCCCGATTTCAATTTCACCATCAATTCGACTGTGCCCATTCACATGCCATCTGGTATTTCCGGCGTGCCAAATATCCCTAGTTTGCAACCTCTGAGACTATTTACAGAAAATGAGATTGAAGGGCCAAATTCCAATTCGAGCCAAGGTTTCGAGAATGTGTCTATTTCCGAAGGAAACAATAACAAGCAACAGAAGCTAGATGATAACACTCACGGCGCAAATCGAGATGGCCCATTGGAACCTAACCATTCTAACACTCTTTTCCTGACGCCCCCTCTTCCCCCTCCGCATTCAGAAGATGAATGTGCGCGCAAACAAATTCTCCTCGAAACTTCATTGCATGCTTCCAACGAGGTGCAACCTACCAAGACGCGCAAGCGCATTGCCCCAACCCTCATTACAACGGCCATCGATCAAACAAGAGATCGCAGAATACCCACCGAAGCTGACACTGTTCGCATATTCCTCCACTCACAACTCGATCAGGGCTATTTGGGTAATTCGCGCATGTCTGTAGACGATGTTTTCTATGGCAAAGTTGCGGCAGGTGAGCAAATTCTGTCTGGTGAAATGGCTCTTGAATTTCAAGAACGAAGTTCAATCTCATTTGGCCGTCGTTTATATGTTCATGGCTTGATGAAACATTTTCTTCGTGTTAGCCCGGAACTTTTCAAGCGAAATAACAAGACCTTAATGGCTATTAAACCATATCGCTTGCAACTTGCCCCAAACCCTTCATTCACTTTATATCGCTCTGGTTTGAATACTACCGAAATCACCCGACAAGCCTTGGCATCATGGCCCGAGATCGATCCGGAAGCATACCCCATTAGATCTTCGAATGCCGGGAAATCAACCTTTGACTTTGATTCGAATGCGGAAGTTGATCTCTTGGCGAATGCGTATGAGAAACCCGGTGCTCTGAGTAAATACAATATGCTCAAGAATGATGATGAAGAGTTACCTTTGTACGGTGAATCTGGTTCAGAGAATGGTTTTGACACCGAAACTTGGGAGGCTATAGATGAAGAGGCTAAAGAGAGAGCTGCATATATCGAGAAGGAGAAACAAAAGAATAAGTTTCTAACCTCGCAAGAAGTAGAAGCGGCTGTTGATGCAGGTATCGCAGATCTTGTTTCTCAGTGGCAAGAAATAAAGCTCCCCAAACGTCGTCAAAAAGCATTCAGACTTTGGACGAAATCACGTAAGACAGGGTCAAAGCATGCAGACATTCTGAAGGCTCAGCAAGACTTAAGACACCTTGTTGACAGACGCATCCCCAAACTTCGGGAAAATATCATACTTGGCCAGTGGTCAAATGCGCACCAGGTATTTTACCAAACCCGTGTCATGGAGGCTACAATTTTCGATCGAGAGGATTTGATCTACACGATCGCTCTTCTTCAGAAGAAGTCGCCACCTCCAAGATTGGCAGCAGATATCCCTGTCAAACCAAAGAAGACTAACATTTCCGGTAACGAGAGTGACTCTGGAGAATCAATACATAGTGAGTCTTCTGCTGTCGAAAGTGTGCACGATGTTGGCGATTTTATTGTGGAGGAACTTGACCTCGCCGATGACGAAGAAGATGTGACCATGTCCGATGATAGTCTCCCAGAAGCTTCAATGACACCATCTCGACGAACAGCTCAACCAAAATCTAAAGCATCTGTCCAGAGTGATTACGTCAGTGAAGAAGACCATCACATGACTTCGGTATTTGATGAGGAGGAACTCGAATCACCCGAACCAATAGAGCACTCCCCGTCTGATCAAATCAAGAGTGAGCCGAAAGTTCCGCTATCAACATGCACGCCTAGAAAAAATCGTGTTGAAATTGACTTGGTAACACCAGAGAGCAATCGAGTATCAAAGTTGAACTTGAATCACAAATCTTCAAGTCTTGTCAACCCAATCGTTCTTTCGTCCGAATCTGATCGAGAACGCTTTTCCGAGAGACCTGTTTTAGATCTAAACAACCTTCCATCACTCACAACACCGGCAGCAGTCTCTCGATTTGAATATGCGACTTGGGAGGATTCTAAGGACCGAGACCGACTCATCATTACAGTTGTAGACAAGCTGCCAAATCAAATGCAGAAATCACTCTTAGAGCTTATTGCGACCATGGATGACGAGACAAAATTAAGAGCTCGTGTAGAAGAATCTATAGAACCTGGTCACAAAACAAAGGGCTTGGACGAGCAGTCGGGCAAGGCATTATTGACTCTTATTAGACTATTCTGGATTTTTATTGATTGCAAGTTTCATCTCGCGGATGACGGATGGATGCTCTTCGCTGCCAATTCAATCACTAGCGATAATTTTAACTCCCTCGGTCATTTCTATCGCCTTTGCAAATCATTACAAGATTACTTCAACCCGAAAATACGTCTGAAGTTTCCTATGTCGAAATTCTCCTCGGCGGTTGCAATGACATCTGGCGACGATGAAGATGAGGATGGCGAACCTCAAGGTCCAGTCAAGAGAAAACGTGAATCTGTTAGGTAAGCTACTATAATTCGTATGGAATACAGGTTGTTCATGACTAACAGACGACAGTAGTACAAGTGATAGTGAGTTTTCTGAAAGAGAAGATGACTCTCCAAGCAAAAAGAAAAGAAAGTTCTTTGAGGATGCAAATGCTCGGAACTTGCGAGAGCAAGATAGAGCACGAGTAACTGCACAAGAAGAGCGTAAGAAACAACTTCGAGCTAGATTGAGAGAATCCGATGGTGTTGGAGATGTGGCACTAGATCGCCATATTGTCAATGAAGGTAAATACAACTATCAAGGTTACATTTACGTCGATGAAGATATCGGCAAGCGCATAAAACCTCATCAATTGGAAGGTGTAAGATTTATTTGGAATCAAATCACTGCAGATGGGGAGGCAACACAAGGCTGCCTTCTAGCACACACAATGGGACTTGGGAAAACCATGCAGACGTGAGTATGGCCAATTCTCTCCCGCAATATATGACTAACAATTTGATAGTATTACTATACTAGTCACACTAGCTCAAGCAGCATCTTCAATAGATGAGTCCATTTCGTCACAAGTTCCGGAAAGTCTTCGTGTGTCAAAAACAATCATCCTTTGTCCTCCTGGGCTGATTGCCAATTGGGTGGATGAAATTCTTACTTGGTCCCCAGATGACATCCTTGGGGACTTGAGACCGGTCGATTCAGCGTCTGACCTTGGAAGCAGATTTTGCACTATTGATGATTGGTTCGAAGAGGGAGGAATTTTGCTCATAGGATACGATATGTTCCGCAGATTTATTGCTCCACCGAAGTCAAAGCCAGATAAGCCTATGACACCTTCTCTCATCAAGAAGTTTGAGCGGGCCAAAACTAAACTTCTTGAAGGTCCAAACATTGTCGTAGCCGATGAAGCGCACAAGATGAAGAATTATACTTCTGCTTTGAACATGGCTGCTACTCAGTTCAGAACCAAAACCCGCATTGCATTGACTGGGTCACCTCTTGCCAACAATGTAGAGGAATACCATACGATGGTTGAGTGGGTTGCACCTAATTATCTTGGTCCGAAGATTGAGTTTCGAAAGAAATACAAAGAACCAATCGAGCAAGGGCTATTTGCTGATAGTACTCGAAGCGAGAAGTTCCGAAGCCAAAAAATGCTTGAGATATTGAAGGCCGATTTGTCCTTGAAAGTACATCGTGCAGATACATCAGTCCTTCGGGACGATTTGCCACCGAAAAAGGAATTCACCATCAATGTTTCCCTCACTGAACTACAGAAGCAAGCATATATCACGTATGTGCGCTCAATGTCTTCACAGAAACCTTCTCGAACAAAGTCTGGAGAGCTCAAGCAAACAACTGTGTGGTCATATATCAATATACTGACCCTGCTTTGCAATCACCCCTATTGTTTCAAGGCAAAATTGGATGCGCGAAGCAACGAGTTGCAAGGAAATTCTCAGGCCAATCCCCAAACTACTACTACATCTCGCACTCGAAAGGGCAAGCTAATGGAACCTCAGGATGTGACAGATCTTGAGAATGATCCAGAAGCCTGGAAACTTGGGGTCTCAGAAGATTTAATTTCGGCAGAAGCAAAGGTTTTTAGGTCTGTAATAGGGACTATTACAAACCCAGAACTTTCAAACAAAGTCCGGATCCTTTGCCAAATACTTGATGCTTCCAGAGCGGTGGGTGATAAAGTTTTGGTGTTCTCTCAAACACTTGTAACTCTTGACTTTCTCGAAATTATGTGCAGTGATCAAGGGAGAAAATATGCAAGGCTCGATGGCAAAACTGCTATGAACAAACGCCAGGCACTTGTCAAAGATTTCAACTCCAACGATTTAGAACTCTATCTGATTTCAACTACTGCTGGTGGCTTGGGCTTGAATTTATATGGTGCTAATAGGGTGGTCATTTTTGACTTCAAGTACAACCCAATTAACGAAGAGCAAGCAATTGGCAGAGCATATCGTATTGGACAGAAGAAACACGTGTTTGTTTACCGTTTGATGGCCGCTGGTACTTTCGAAGGCAGTATCCAGAATAAAGCAGTGTTCAAAACGCAACTTGCTTCTAGAGTCGTTGATAAGAAGAATCCACTGTCATGGGCCCAGAAAGGCTTGGGAGAAATTCTCTTCGAACCAAGAGAAATCCCACAAGAAGATCTTTCAGAATTTGAAGGAATAGACAGCGTCGTCCTTGACACTATTTTGAGTCTCGAAGAAAACAAGGGGGCAATTTTGAAGATTATCCAATCTGACGATTTTGAAAAAGACGATGATTATAAAATGACACCCGAAGAGAAAAAAGAGGTTCAGCAAGAAGTTGCAGAAGAACAACTGAAGCGCTCTGATCCTAGAGCTTACGAATTACTTATGCGAAAGAAACAACGAGTCGCGATTAGTGCCGCAAATCAACAAGTTCAACAGAGACAGCCCCAAATGTCTTCCACTGTCAAGAGCGAAATGATAATTGGTAACAAGCTTAAGGAGAATCCGGAAAACAGAAACGGCAATTCGGACGTAGAAGAGATATCAGCAGGACTTTTTGTAAGACACAGTTTCAATAATTATTTCATTTAGATCGCAGAAAGCTAATGTTTCATAGGCACGGCGAGGTTTTTTTAGGCAGCTTAAGAAAATTGTCAGGAGTACTGATCCACTCAAAAATGAGGACATAATTCGGCAAAGACATGAACATGTTAGGATGGAAATCCAAACGTTTTATGATGGTAGGCATGAATGGACCGATAATTTTCAAAGAATGGTTTACCAAAGGGCTTGCGCATTCATTCGCGAAAGACCTGTTATTGCTCAACAACTTTTTTCTTCAGAATTAGGTGCTGATGAATTTTTGGGACAAGTTGCATCTTGGTGGGACAAACGCTCAGAGCCAAGATCGGCCAATGAGCGACAAGTTCAAATTTCAGTCTCATCTGATAAGCCCCAAGAGCTTCAGACTTCGGTTTCTCTGACCCAGAATGGCAACGGACAGGTCGCAGTTAATGACGACAAGATTGAGTCTGTGGCTTCTAGACAATCTGGCTCTTTGGATTTGGCCAGAGGAGCAAGAATGGTGGAAGAGAGGGCTGATGCTGATGCTTCATACAGTCCGGTTGAGCCAGCAATTTCTCACGCAGCCGCTTCCTCTGTCCAACAACAGCCTCTTGCATCTAGCACGCCATTTAAGGAACCCAATACATTGATTTCAGAGGGCGGTATGAAACCCGCAAAAAGCAATGATACTCCCGACTGCCCATCCGTCCCAGAAATCGTACCCGAAGAGCAACATTCTCTATCACAAAATTCCACAGGAGATATCCCCAACCACAGGCCCATTAGCTCATTTGCCGAGGTAATACTACACCCTGTTGTACCTTCTGCTTTGATTACGAATCCAGTGGGTGAGGATAGGATATCACAATTTGCGGAGAATCAGTATATTGGAGCAGTGCCCTTGAACAATTCGGTTGTGGCTACAGTCAACACCAATGTCAAAGTGGACAAAACTGACAAACCTGATGATTCTCTCTCAACCACTTCATCATCAAGTGACGAAGTGCCATCAATATCTTCTCCCAAAAAGGGTCTTCTTCAAAGAATATTCGGATAATAATTGTGCCCAAAACTAACATACTTAACTACAGACCGGAATGTTCCGAGCCATGAATCAACAGCCGCAATCACTGAGGACTCCTGTGGTAACCTCCAAGAAGAAGAAGAAACATCGGGGAACAATGAATTCTGAAGACTCAGAAGTAATGCGACAGATTCAACAACGACGGTTAGCTCGAAGAGAAATCAATCATACTACTAGCCCTTTCCAATCCAAAAAGTCTTCTACTAGATCCTCGTAAGGTGTTTCATTGACACAGCCAGCGTCACATTCACGACCTCGAAGATATTACACACTAAAAATACCAATTTACTTTCCAGTTTCCTTTTCTTTTCTTTTCGATACCCGATGTACAACAACAAATAACATCACCAACAGCTCTTTAACAATTTGAGCGAATGAAACAATCAGCAAACACGAGGGGCGCATTATATTTTTAGGGGCTCTGGAGTTGGAGGAATGAAGCGACAACTCTGAACTTTACTGGGAATTGAGGGTCAATTATCTTTTTTCTTCGTTATGATACCACATTGTTATTTTTTGCGATATGAGGGAGGGTACTGGCAGACATTTACAAGGAGGTTGATTCGATATCAATGACTGGGGTGTGAATGGAGATGCATATTGTTTTCTCACAAATTTTCTTCATTTTTGATTGCTTTTGCTCTTGCTCAATACGAGGATACGAATGAACATAGAAAATTCATGCATGGCTGCGCAAATAGAGCTTTGGAAGTTTGCATGGGTTAGGGTAAATAGGGGAAGGGGTATGTAGATAATGAGGGGTGGAAGAATGATGGTGGTGGATACATAACCTGACCTGATCCTAATTTTCATCGAACATACACTGATAGCATTTCAATTGATGAGAAATTTATGAGATGAGATGCAAATAATGAAATAAGTGTAAACACGTGTCTATATATTGGAAATCTGTGAGATTGAACGACGAAATGTATTTCTTGTGAGACTTTATATACATGTCTTTAGGGTAAATAGTGATGCTTTCTATACTTCTAAGTTCTGGTCGGTATATCTACAGGGTAAGAGTGGTTGGTAGGTGGTAATGGTGTGTTGTGCGTTGTAAGCTGTGGACTCGAATACTCATCGTGGTATGAGATGTAAAGGAGAAGAACATGGGTTGATAAAATAACGAATAGTAGATGATCTATCGAGAGATATTTGAGGGGAATTCAGATATAAGTGAGGCGTGTTCGTGCATGCTACATTACATTGCTACACGGAGTGCGAGACACTGCCATCGCAACGAATAGCTCCTGTGCAGAGTTTGGGGAAAGATAGATTTGATATCTGCGAGCTTCGAAAGCGACATGTAAGGTCTGACAGGGGATCGTTTTGCTAGTGATTTGTATTGCGAGCGCAGGAGCATCTTGGGGTGTTTTGATTGGGCATGAAAGGATGTAAGATCTTGAAATATGTATGTAGTCGTGAGGATTTGAGGATGGGGGATGTGTATAACTTTGAAAGCGATTGGGTTTATTCAAATACATTTGGATGAATGACTGTGCTGTTGCTGGTTTCGTGATCCACATCCCTTTTGTTTATATTTTTTTCTTATACATCTAGTTGTGATGTTAAGAGTTGTGATGCGTAGGTATTGAAGGGCGGGCAGGAAGGTAAACAGTCCTGTGGCCGCGCCTCCGAGATTTTAAAAGATCTTAAGGAGGAATATGAGGAGGTCGTGGGTAATAAGGAAATGTTGTAACGATTGGTAAAGTGAACATCTTTTCTTGTATTCAAAGCTTTTGAAAGTCCGTTGTTGGATTGATAATTGAAAATTGATTCGAAGGTATTTAATAATAACGCCTAGATTTAACGAATGACTAGGTGTATGAACGAGAATTAGAATGAGAGAATGAGTGAGTAGATAAGTGGGAAGATGGAGGTATCTTCTTGTTTATCTCTCTATCTATATCCATATATATATTCTAGAGACTCTAGCTGGGAGTATGGTAATAATAAAACCCTTCAAAGAAAAGGCGATACTCGTTGTTAAGAAAACTTAATTTTCTCGGTAATTTTAGTTCCTCTCCTTAGTATTGTTCTTGAGGCTTATCATTGTTCGCGTTGCCATGAAAAATATAAACGAAGGGAATGGATATGAGAATTTCTTTGATAACGACGTCAAACTGATTGGCCAGAAGATAAATCGTTTTTCTAGAAGTTCTAGAGCTTATGAAAGAGGGATCTGGAAGGTTTTGGGGGTCACTTAAAAAAAGTAGTGCGCTTTTCTTTCTCCAAGATTCGTCTGAGCTAGACCTTCTAAGTCCTAGAAATATCGGTGCTACTATTGTTGAAGTTCTCATGAAAGACTGGTTTGTTCTAGAGGTTCGGAGTCATCTGATAGAAGAAAGTTGTGGTGAACAGTAAAAGAGAACGATCACGGCAAGGCAGTGATTCCAAGGCTCCTAAGAGATATGACAGAGACTGGTCGATCTCGGAGCGAATAAAAGTGCGCTAAAATTGCTTTAAGAGTGGAAGGCTATCAAGAGAAATCGTGTGCCGTCTCGCAGAAACAGATGGACCAAGTATTGAGAAGAAGCTGCAACGATGAAATTCCCTAATCGTCAAAGAAAGAAACAAGCCGGCTGTGAAAACCCCGTGGTCCAGAACGACATACCTAATACCTAGTCATTGAGAATCAATTGCCTCCTTTCATTTCAGCCATGAAAGTCTATCCCATCATCAAGTCCTGAAAATCGATGTTTACAACCTCGCTCTTTCCTCGACCGTCTCTCCGCCAACTTGCCCATTTAATTCCATACTAATGCCCCTACTAATCCAATCACTAATCGCCATATTCGTGATCATGGGATTAACTCCGCTCGCACTTGGGAATACACTTGCATCACTAACGTACAAATTTTCCACGCCCCAAACCTTTCCCTTGGGATCTACAACTCCATTTTCCGGGCGTGTACTCATGCGTGAAGTACCCATTTGATGCGCAGATGCAAATTGGGAGGCTGGAGGCTTTGTGTTGATGGTAGAGAGTGTTGTGAGCCAAGTCTGGAAGGCGGGGTCGGAAGAAAAGTCAATTGAATTGGTGGAAAGAGAAGACGGAGTACGAATGAAAGGCTCAATGCCCTGAGTCGTGATGTGTATTTCTCTTGCGCCGCTTACGTAGCAGATTTTTGCCAAAGCAAGGACGCCTTGCAGAATGTGACCTCTGTCAAAATCGCTCGGGGTATATGAGATTCGTGGAAGGCCGGTCTTGGCATCGGGATATACAAGCCCACTATCGCGGTCTCGAGCGATGGAGATGAAAACGTTCATGTGGCGGTAGAAGAGGGATTTGAATTTATAGTCAAATCCGGTTGGGTAGTTGAGAGTGGGAAGGCAGAGGGATGGCATCATACAGGTTGCTTCGAGCTTGACACCATGGCCGTGCGAATCGAGGTTTTCGAAAGAGCTGCATACGCTTGTGAGGATGCCACCTGGTGGAAGGCTTGTTAGCAGGAAGTTTAAGAGAAAATAATATAAGATCCGAGCGACATACCTTCCCATGGTTTCACATCCTCGGGGAATACTGCACCGACCATACTGACTGGGTGAAGATACAAGTTCCTTCCAATTTGTGGATTCTGTTAATTTATGTTAGTAGGCTGTTAGTATGATAAAAAGAACAAGAACTTACTGTGAGACCACTATTTTTCAATATAACAGGAGTCCAAAGCGTGCCAGTCGAGATGATAACTTTCTTCGCCTTGACAATGACTTCTCGAACTGTTTTATCAGATAGAGGACCATCGACACCACCCTGACTATTCCTCGAAGTCCAAACTCCTTTCACTCCAACTGCCTTTTTCTCATCCGATTCGTCAAAAATAACATGATCGACTTTAAATCCTTCAATAAACTCCGCACCAGCCTTCGCGGCATCTGGTAGCCAGGACACAACTGGCCCTGCTTCTGTGAAGATCCACATCCATTTGAGCAATGTCCACAATAATGTTCATGTCCTCCCGTGTTCTGTGGAACAGGCTTCGCATTAAATCCCAACTTTCTCGAACCCTCCAATAACACCTGGTTCCCATGATTTTGCCTTACATGTTCCGCACTAACACCCATTCTCTCACAAACTCTATCCAAACAGTCCTGAAAATCCGTCGAGCCAAAAAATTTCAATCCTCTATCCTCAGCCCATTCTTTCCTCACAAAATCTTGTGTTTGTAAACTTGCGCTCCAATTGATAGTTCCTCCACCTCCCCAATTACTTCCCGCCACAATCGACATGCTGGAATCATCATTCATAATCACCCCTCCATTTTCGAACAGGTGAATACCCGAAGTCGCTTCGGACATTGGTAATTGTGAGGGAGGATAATAATATGACTTCTCCACCACCACAACCTTATGTCCATCTTCCGCTAAATTCTTGGCACAAACTGCACCTCCGCATCCACTTCCCACAATGACAACATCTGTCTCAATAATCCACGGTTCCTCGCCTGCCGAAAACTGAAGAAACTCGTACTCGTAATGAGGACCCGGTTTATAATGATCGGGAACTTTGGCAAAACCCGTGACTCGATCGAAATTCGGTGATGTTTTCAGCCAAATGTGTTTACCTAACACAGACATTGTTTTGGCAATGGCGCGAAGGGGAAAGAAGTATGAATTGCGCCAGTTAGCAAGGATTGATTCACGGATGTTGATTGGGTGAGACTGTAAGGGCGAGGCGTAGCCTGTGAGCATTAATGAGCCGAGGCGGGTATTGAGAGTGGTGAGAATGAAACCAAGGACTTTTCGAGCATCCTCACGAGCATATATGGTTAAAGTACGAAGAAGGATGTCTTGAAAGGCTGGAATGTCGGACGGCTTTTCATTGAGGTATGCTTCTAATGCTTCCGTTGACGGTGGCGATGAGATTGTCGTTCGCATATGAGCTACAGCATCACTGTACTGTTCATCGGGAACTGAGAGTTGACTGAATGGATCATTTGTGACCGAAGATTTATGTATTGAAGGAATTACAGTATCCATGATTGCCATTAATGTACTCCATTGCAATTCTGTGAAGTATTGATCTTCAGGAGGGTCAGGTAATGGAGCAACAATTGGTGCAATGATATCAACCATATTCGAGGTCATTGTGGAAGATTTCAAATTTCAAGATAGAGAGTGTCAAGTATATAAAATAAAGAAATGAGCGACAGGATATGTTCATGTATATCGATATAGATATAGATATAAAGATTGATGATAACTTGAGCTCCAGTTCAACTGTGCTTTTCTTCACATGAAGTCTGAAGTTCAATAGATTGTTCTGATCGGAACTTTGTCTTCCGTGCACCGTGTACCGAGGCTGGCAAGGGATGTTGTGAAAGAGCCCCAGATAGGTGGTAGTATTCTATGGTGTTTAGGTAAATAATGTAACTTTGAAGGATCAATTGCAATTAGGATAACATTATGAGAGAGAGCGTAAAAGAAAAAGAAGATGATGGCATCTCTTTAAGAACATCGATACTTCCAATTTGCTATCCTATCCTAACAAAGCTGATCTCCCGGGACGTTTATTGCTCCGCTGCCAAGATTGCGGGATGATCACGTGTCGCGGTACTTGACCCCTTGGCATGAAACGACTTTCAAGGATCACGAAACAGAGAATGAGAGATTCGGATACACGGAGTGTGGAAACTTTCCGTCGGGACGAATGCTGGACAGCCTGTGGGGAATCAATATCGGGAATCACAGGTAGAGTCGGCATTATGTTCGTCCGTCTGGGAAAACCAGTAGCTATCAAGAGCTGGTGAACAATGTCCCAAGGACTGCTCTGAAGATCGTGTTCGATTTGCCTGGAACAATCAATAACATTGCTCTGCGGATTTGTATGTCTCAACCTCATTCTTCTCCAAATCGGCGTCCAGTCGCGGTCGAATGAGAATCTGCATCGCCGACCATCCTCATAGCAATAAGTTCGTCAATGAGTCCTCAAGCAGTGCTATTAGCATCAGCCCTTGCGAGCGAGTCTATCTGATACTGCTTATGAGTTTCCGCCCAACTACCGGATCTTAGATGGGTCTGATCATATTACTTTCGCGGGTTATTCGAAACCCTGTAGCTTTAATCCTGAAAAGGAAATTTTCAACGGCCACTCACATCGATCCACTCTGTTCGACTGCTGCAGCTTCTCGACAAGTAACATGAGGAGTCAGTGACGGGAATGAGAAATGTTTGATCGCATTGCTAGTGAGGTTGCATATCAAATTGAGACGTATCTCATGCAAACAAGGCTACTTGAAGATTGTCGTTGCTCCCTTTTGAATACGGAGACTGGACAATGTAGTATCGAATCCCAGTTGAGATTCTTTGGAGCAGCTTTTTGATGGTCTATTTCAGGTCCCATATTGAAAAGCTCTGTAGATGGTGTAGTGTTCCTTCCCATGTGACATCTTTCAATTCTTCATCATGAACTGAAAGTTGAATCATCTGTAAGAGCAGCAGTAAATACCATCAGAGGTTTATCTCATTTATCAATGATAGTTCAGAGATTGAAATTCCTATAGACCATTGCAAAACAATCCTTTGTGACATACAGCTATCCTATACAAGATCATTTTACTCGGTCACTCTCTGGTTGACTATAGTACAGTAATTTCCCCTCGCCTCTGGCCTGTACTATATCAATCCAATTCACAACAAAATTCTCGGCCCAGCGTGTGCGTCTAGCACAGCGGTAGAGGTTCAAGATTGCACAAGTTGCTTCATACTAGGTTCAAGACGATCCCAGATAGCGAGAGACCTTTCGCGGATTGTGGCGGCCGGCGTTTTTTTGTTTCTTTGTTCTATCCGTTTTTAGGACTTCTTATCATGGTCGTGTTGAGTTTCTTGTTGCTCGCGGGAGATTTTTTGAGAGTTTTGATGGGGTGCTTGAAAAAGGTGGTGAGGCGACGACAGTGAATGTTGTTGTTGGAAGTGAAGTGAGGATATATTGTGGGGCTGGTTGTTGACCTTGAAACGGCATACCTACTTTGACCCACACAACTAATCAGCATCTCAACTTGGGTAGATATATCAATACTATTAAACTGACTTACGCGATGATTCTGCACTTGAATTGGGCTCCACACTTGATATACGTGTACAAAAAATGCAAGTGATTGCAAGTAATGGTCGAAAATTTAGAAACCATTATCGTCGTCCCATACTACCAAGATCTCAATTCGCAACCATATTCTCTCAAGACCTTGAAGTTATATAAAATCTAAATGGAATGATCGGTTTTCTTTAAACCCAACATCCTGTAAATCATTTAAATAAATATCCAAGGGAATTCAATTCTACAAGAGGTCATACACAAACACTCTTGCGATCACCATCATCAACACATGTTAGACCTCAGGTATTAGATGAACCAACTCTCAAGCTTTGTTGCAAATCTCAGGTCAGGTAGTTAGTTACCTGTCATTATTCCTTCATTTGGGTTTTGATATCTTCCCCTGGGCCAAATTGTTCAGAGTTTTGTAGGTAAATCTGAAATTAGGAAATGGGAAATGTGTTTAGAAGGCTGAGCTTATGACTTATGACTGACTGCACGAATTCTTCACAAGAACGTGGATCGATGGATTTTTGTACTTCCCTTTGACAGTGTATACACCATAAAATTCCTTGTGAAACGTAGATAGCATAGCGATGAAGTCATGATTGTCGCCTGCAGAGCTTCTTGCAGAAATAATATTCAGACCCAACAATGTTACTCACTATTGAGCCGTGTGGGAAGGGGTTACGCCAATTTAATACCAAACAACGCAACCATAACTCCATTTGTATTAATCCCATTGTCAGTCCAACCCCTTCATCTTGCTTCATTCGACATTCATCAATCAATCCTCCTGCCTCGTTCGACCAGCCTCTCACCTAGCCGTCATTTCCGCGCCATAAACGCCGGCGCTGCCCACACCTAGACCCGTAGAGGACAATACACCCCATGTAAGAGCTGCAATTTCCCAATCTTCATCTTCATCATAATCACCTTCAGCTAGGTTCGTAGTAGTAGTAGCCGTTGGTACATATGCGGCATCTTGTGAAGATCTATTGGATTTCCTAGGACGGCCTCGGCGACGAATTGGAGAGGGCGTGTCACTTCTGTGGGTCGATCAGCTATCAAATATCTTAAAAGCCTGGGCGTGAAAACTTACAGTTTAGAAATACCCTCTGCTTCCTCCTTAACCTTTACTCCTGCTTTAACTTTCTTCATCCAAGGGATGACCACTCGTAGAATCTCGATGCCATCCAATCCTCTCACAGCAGCCCATGTCCCAAGACTTAACCCGGAAAGAATAACATCATATCCGACAGATGCTACAGCAGGGTGGTCTGATATTGCACCGAAAACTCTTTCCACAGCTGTAAATGCACGATTTGTGTTTGATCGATAGACCTTTTCGAGCGGATGAAGTAGACTATGGCGGTAATAGTGATTCTCAGGTGTATTGTATAGTAAAGCCAATCCAGTGGTTCTAACATGAAGAATCGAGGATATAATGGAGAGGCTGCGAAATATTTTCGTGTATGAAGAATGAGCTTCATGTGGGTGATCGTACGTAGTTCCCCAATGCTCAGGTATAATGTAGGGAAGCAATAATGGTGCGAATGGAAGTGAAACCGATAAGAGCGCTACTGTCCCAAATGAAGATGTATTTGCCGCAAAAGGTGTCAAGAACAAGGCACCATAGCCAGAAATAAGCGAGGCAATGTAGAAACCAGGGCTCGGTAGCCAGTTATGAGCTCTTTGTGGAACGATCTTCTCGAACCATAATCTAGATTATGAGAGTCAGCACGTGTTCTAATCACAGTAAAAAAAGAACTCACTTGTGCACACTCCCGAAAACTCTTCTCGTATCAGTCAAGACATCCACGTTCTCTGGCAATGGAACGGGAGTCAACAGAATAGCCACGAACCACAGATTTTGAGCAAATGATACATTAACAAGCTGTCCCAGGAGAATGAATGCCCATAGGTTAGAGATATTTCTTCGACGTCCTTCGATAGCTACATAGGTACTAAATGAATTCATAGCAAAATTGGCTTGCTGGCCCCACCAAAAGTATCTTGTATTTTCGGCGACTATCTCAAGATTATCACGGTAGAAAGGTGTATCGTTAAGCCATCTGATGATTTCGAACCGACCTGGATGTTGACCCAATCGAAAAGCACCTTTATCACCAAAAAGACTGTTCTTATCGTGAGTATGTTTCATGCCATATAGTTAACTCCCTCTGGAAGCTTTGCAATAACAGACCTATCAGGCAGCTCAACGCCTCTCTCAAGAGCCCAAACTCTATAGCTTAAACTCGCCCCACTCACACCGAACCATCCAGCGGTGATCAGACCCAATAAAGCCAAACTGATGAATATTCTAACATGATTACGCCTTAAAGGCTGACGATGTCTCGTGGCAGATGACGGTGGGAGTGCCAGGTATGAACGATAAATGGTGCGAGAGACGAGAGCTGTTAGACACGACGTCAAGAGTATGTGTCCTCCTAGCTGTAAAGCTGGAAGGAGGCTGTAGGTATATATTAGTATTCCCGTTTATAGGTTGTCAAACAGTCTGATGATTTGATGCAACGAAACATGGGAACATGAATTTGAATATGGTAGTACCTTGGATCCTGATCGATTTCGATCGGCGCCATCTTTACACACACACTTTTTCTCAAGTCAAATCAATGCAAAACAATATCGAATATCAATGCCAAAAAATAACAGATTCATAAGTCATTAAAATACCAACTGAAGAAGTTGGATGTGATTCTTAGATATCGATGTTGTTAGTTGGCTTTGACACGTGAGAGCACTAGAAGTAGTGGGAAGGGGTCCATTAGTTTCCGCGTCATGCAAGCTTAGCCTAACCATTTCTAGCTTTGTTCAGCCTTGTGTCAAGGCTTCGCTGAACTTCGTCGCGATACATTTCTTCTTAAGAATAGAATGTCTTACAATTAATTTTCACCACTCAATTCCATCTGCAAAGCTTCTCATTCTTTTTTCATGAGCCCGATATTTAGTATGACAATCTTCTAGCTTAAACCTTAATCCCTAGCCAGATTCGTTTGCACGCGCTGCACAATCTTCCCAAAAACGCCCTGCGGTTCTACTTGATAGCACTTCTTCCACAATCCCTTGGGCACTCTGTTTGCAAAATTAAGCTCTAGCTGTGAGAGATTATCAGAGGATCCTATAATTCTACCGAATTCTCAACAGGCTCTTCTGCCTATAGACGCGCCGCGAAGCTTTGAAGGATTCCGAGATCGTGGGGTTTGGTATCTACAGGTCCCGCAATCGACATTGAAAAGATGTATCATTTAGCAAAGGGATTGTATCGATATGCCACTAGTAAAGAAGGTTAGTTTCGGCCATTCCATTGCTTATATATTTTCAATTTCCTACAATTCAGCTCTTACTTGTACACCAATGCGAGCTTAGGTGTTCAAAGGTGGATTTCGTTGAAAGCCGGGCCTTAATTGATAGCAAATATGAATCGCACAAATCCTCCTGTCCTTCTCGTTTCCACTGATTTTATGGATTCCTCCTATCATTAAAACTACATCTAATCTATCTCTTCGCTTTCGCAGACTAACATACCACAGAATACTCCGTTCTCCTCCTCGGTCTTGACAATGCTGGAAAAACTACTCTCCACACCCAAATCAAATCACTATATTCCCGCACAACCCCGCTCCCGCCGATCCCTCACAGCTAAAAACAGTACCCACCGTCGGTCAAAATGTCTCCACCATCGACCTTCCAGATATGTATCTGAAGATTTGGGATATAGGAGGTCAACATTCTCTTCGAAAACTATGGCAATCTTACTACACCAGTTGTCACGCCATTGTCTTTATAATAGACAGTACTGACATCGGGTCTGGGGATCTCACTGATTTGGACTCTGATACCGGGGATAAAGACGTAGGGAGATTGGAGGAGTGTAAATTGGTACTAGAAGATGTGTTGAAAAGTGTGGAGACTGAAGGAGTGCCAGTGCTGGTTTTAGCGAATAAACAAGACAGGGAGGATTGTGTGGAAGTTGTGAGGATCAAAGAGGGTTTGGTGAAGAGGGTTTTTGAGGGGGAGGGAGGCGGTGCAATTAGAGACAGTCGGGTTTTACCGATTAGTGCGTTGGGTGGAACAGGGGTTAGGGAGGCTGTAGAGTGGGTGAGAAGTAGAGTTGTTTGGAATAGGGAGGGGAGACCTCCTGTTATGCGGTAGTCGGGGATGGCGGAGGAGTCAGTATTAAGAGATCTAAGGTCAACATGGGGTGGGACCTTCACGCAATTTTGGGGAAGACGCAAGGAGATGTGAGAGAGGAGTTAGTGAGCTTTGTGCTTCTATTGCTTTCCATGATTCTATCCCTCATCTGCAACTTCGAGATTGTGAGCATCCAGGTGTATCTGACTTTCTTGGACAAGAGGCGGACAGAGAAGACAAAGACCCTCGCGGATTCTTTGAAAAATGGCCCAGATTTAATGAATCACTTTCGGGTAACATACTAGACGAGGGGGCGGCAAGCGAATTACATTTTGATATCAAATTAAGGATAGGCAAGGAGTTTAGCGGGCGTTTACTTGTAGCTAACGAACAGAAGAAGTAGAAGATAGAAAACGGGAGAAAGAAAGAGGCGCGTCCTATCTTAAAACGCACCAACGGCGATAGATTTCAGGATATTATAATTAAGTATCAATACTGCCAATATTTATAAGCGTCTGTGATTTTCAATGAGTTTTCAGACAGTTATGAGTCTTGACTCGTGCATCACATGGACATTTATCCACCACGCCTGAGACAGTCTCATCTCTCCAACTCACTTACTAGCTACTTTCTCGGATACCCTTAAACACCTCTTCCCCTGAACCTCAAAATTCGTGATTACAAATCCAAAGTCCCAAGTTCTAATACTCACCGCCATGGTCTGATCCTATCTTATCCAATCTACTGAAAAACTCTTGAACAATCATACTCGCTTCTGGTGATAATCCCATACACGATGCCGAGGTTCTGATCAGCTCAAATTTCAAAAAAATCAAAAAAATCTGATACCAGTACTCACACATTTCCATTCCATCGCATCCTCTCCGTTCCAGTTACATGTCAGGAGATCATCGAATGGTATCAACGCCACTTCTCACCGCTTAACATCCGACCCTCCTTTCCTTCCGCTCTCTTCCCACTCACCCTTTCCTACCTTTCCCAACTTGAGCCATCTAACCTACAATCTCAACATCATCCAAAACCACGTCCAAATCCCAAATAATCAACACAACCCTCAAACTCATTTCCACAATCACAATACTCATCTCATTATCCTCCCCCGACCATCCGCCCATCCTAGATATCCTTTCGAATATCCTTTCTTTTCCGCTCCGCTCCCATCCACCCATCCACAATTCAAACAGCCGTGTGCCAAGCTACTTCCCCTATTCCCCTCTTTACATATTACACCATACCTCTGAACACCGACTCCGACACCAAACAAGATCATCCAAATCTATATCCATACCCAAACCCAAACCAATCCATACCCCTCCCTAAGTTCCAACCGGACCAAAAAGTTCGACCCAAACCCAATCCCAATCCCCAAACCCAATCCTAAACACCTACCCAACTCCTCCATCCAAACCTCAAACCTCAGACCCCGACTCCGCGATCTTCCCCTCCCCCTCCCCGTCCTAAACCCCCAAACAAACACACACACACACATCCACATCCACATCCACATCTCCATCCAACCCCAAGTCCAAGTCCAAGTCCACGTCCAAGCACAATCCCAGATCCGAGTCCAAGCGCACACACCACACCGTACCGCACCGTCCTAGAGCGGAATCTTCCCACCTCATCTCTCACTGCTCAGAACATTCTAGAATTTATCACCAGGATATCTATCACTAAGCATTTCCCAGATCGCATTGACCATTCGGCTCTGATAGAATTAAGCATTCAATAGTCGGTAGGAATTAGTCTGCCGCTTGGGAGAGCCGATAACTATCGTAGGTGAGGACATTGACATATAAACAACACGCGAACTTTGATTCACTTCCATTAGTATCCTATCACCCAATCAGAATGCAACAGTGTAGAACATGAAATCTTTGAATCTTCAAACTTTCATTGTAGCAAAGTCATGATATCTAATCTAACCCTACAAGAACCACACGGCCAGCAATTCAATCCTTATATTTCTCTCATCTTCTCCCATCATTTCAAAACACCCCGTCCATCCCATTCCATCATACCTGGAATATTCCCATTCCTCGATCTTCAATCATCAATCCCATTCCCGTAAGTCCATGACCGTGATCATATCATTCCCAATACGCCATCCATTAGAATAATGGATCCATTCCATCAAACACCTAATCTTCCATCATTCGCCAATATCAAAGTCTAAATGATATATACGCGTCCCATTGTATTGCATCAACCAAAAAACCCCACGCTAAAGCAACTGCAAACGCAAAAAAAGCAAAAAAGACAATTAGTCTAAAATGTAACATGTATGAAGATCTTTGCCAAAAACAAAATCCCCCATCAAAAAATCAAAAGATAAACAAGCAATAGTATATTGCTCTGGCACAAGGGCCTATTTAAAGCCGATCGAAAAGTAAGCTGGATCTTTGGGTATTCAACGCGATGGAAGCAGGCGATAGCAACGCTAAATTCGACTCGCAGTAAGCTTTAAATTGTTGAAGACATGCCTGTCAATGTTGATTGGAAATTATGTGTATATTCATACATCTTTCTCTCAAATAGGCCGTTTATTATCGTAATTGTGGTATCAAGAAAGAAGGGAATTCGTAGAATTCGTAAACGTTCAAGTGTATATGTAATGTTCCAAGTTTCGTCTAAAAGGTGCTCCAGTGCCAATCTCTTGGGACACTTGCTGGAAGACTCTCGGGTGGACCTTTCAATTGTTGGCCGATGAGGTTGTCGACAACTCTACCTCTGGCACAATTAACGACTGGAGTGGTGGGAGTTCTGGGTTCGTCTTGAGAGCTTTCGCTGTTGGATCGACTGGATCGTGCAATAGACCAGCTTCTATACTCATGCCAGCAGTGTTCGCAGGAGCGACTTTGAGTGCCCTTTGGGTGGTAGTTGGCGTCTTGATCAAGAGGAATTGAATAACCAGAGTGTTGATCGCAGAAAATGTTTCCACAGCGCCGACAGTGATGCCGCCTTGTAAAGTAGGTGAAGTATTTTGTGCAAGTAGTTTCATCGCAGATAGAGGATTCGGCATCAGGCTATTGAACCATAGAGTTAGCATCCCATTTTTATAGATATTAAAAAGTAAATAACTGAAAGATAATTGGCAGATAAGGTGGATAGATATTTTTGTTTGAAGCACGCGACCCAGCCAAGCGATGAGGAATGGTTTGCATGGCGGCTAGGGATCCATTGCGAATTTCTAGCACGTAATATCCCTCAAGGTATTGCAATATTTGTTTGCACAAGTTACAAATACCCCGAACACCCCAAGACTTCTTGAATGCAAAAAAGTAAGAAAGTCCAAAAAGGTAAAGCTCGTTCATGATCTTTCCTTTTTTTTCTTTTGCTTTACTTCGAACAGAATGGGAACACTTTTGCTAACATACCTTCCAGTGATTTTTTGTTGGCAATGCGGTTACCTTTCCAAGGCCCTCGACACTCCATTCAGATTCAGTTATTGCGCCCAATCCGAATTTTCCGCTATCTCCAGTCGATCTTCTAGTCAACGTTGTTGCGCTCTCCAAGTCATCAAAGCTGCTATGCATACTTTGTGGTGGGGTAAGTGGTGATGGCTTCATCATTCTCCTGGGCGGATCTGTTGGTCTCAAAACCGCTGGCACATACAATGGTGACTTGGGTGGTCGCAACTGTCTAGTGTGCGCTGGTAGATAATTTGGAAGTCCATTTCTTGGTGAAGTGGGAGAAGCATTGTTTGGAGTTGGCGGAGTGGTATTTGTCGGAGAGATTTGTTGACTGTTGTAGAGAGTATATTGAGAGGGGGAAGCCGTGAATTGTTGAACCGGCATTGCGAAATCTGTAGACATCACTCTCGATTTCTCTGATGTGAAGTCGTAAGTGGTAGTAGGAGGAGGGTAGGAAGTCTGTCGATTTGTTTCGAAGAACATGGAATTTCACTCTCACTTTCTGATATGAGAGTTGAGGATTGGTGAAATGTTGCTCTTCTCTGACTCTTATCGGTGAAAGCGACCCAAGGTAACAGCGACCGAACGGCGGCGATATTGTTGTGCGCCTCCTAAAGATAGAAGCAAGTAGGTTGACGATGCGGTTATCGTAGGCCTTACTATTATTATAAAGCCTTCTTCTGCAAGTTCTTATCGAACCAACTTCCAAATTCGATTATTGAGAGATGAAATTTGGACGATTAATAACCACAATTATATTCTATTGATCGTTTATCAATAGAATATGAATGTAATGGGTGAATGAATGATTATTTATTATGATGTATGTTATTATAACTGTATGACTTCGGGTGTCTTGTAGAGAGGAAGGGAAGGGAAAATAATTGAAGATCGTGTAGAATGGGGAAGTAGTAGGAATTCGGTTTTCTTTAATCTCTTGGTAGCGTTGTAGTATTGTGGCGGGTGTATTGGATGATTGATAGTTCTCGCTTCGACCAATTGGTTCTTTATGAGTCGATGTGAGAGATAACAATGCAAATGCAAATGCAAATGCAATCCAATCCAATCTTCTTTCAAAGATCCTTGTAAAGCTTTTCTAATCTCCCACACAATGGAACTTGGGGAACTAAACTCTTCGAATCCGATGTCTTACAAAAGTAAGATAGATAAGAAAGATACGATAGGATAGGATGGGATGGTCGTATATGTCGATGTTGTACCTCGTTATACAGGAGGATGGAAGATTGAAGGTGGGTAAGAAGTTAAAATGTAGGTAAGACTTGAAGTAGTTGATTGGTAAGAAGTAGAAGGTAGAAGTAGAGATGGAGATGGAGATATAGATGGAGATATAGACAGAGATATAGATGTTGAAGTAGATGTTGAAGTAGGGGCAAGAAGTACAAGTAACTTGGAAGAAAGGGTTGAAGTCTTTCTAAGTTTCCAATTGCTTTACTTTTGAATGAAGAAGGTATTTCGATGCTGATTGTTGAGATGAGACGAGATGCGAGTATTGAGGAGAGGGGGGGCAATTTGATATGTATACTCCGTACGCACATTGAACAGACAGAGTGGAGGGGGGTGGATAATGGAAAAGTGGATTGAAGCTAAGATATGGGATGCTGGAGTAAAAGTTCGAATGTCTAACGATGTATCCTCGACTCTCTACTTTTTTACCTTTGCTTTCTTAACTACCCGACAACTACTCCGTACTCGAGTAATTAACACGTGCGTTACATGGGAAGAACCCAGTTAGAGAGGTTTAAACTAATTTTGATCAGATATGTACCGGTCTTCAGACTACAGTACATAATAGTTCAATATATTCTCGGAGGGCTAATGTTAGATATGGAGATATATGGGTAAATGGGTATATGGATAAGTAACCATTGGGAGCTTAGTATGTTTAGAACTTGTAGAAGGGTCTAATATCATTTGAACATGACTTTTTGAGGCACGAAATATTGTGTAGAGAACGTCGTCAAGAGTCTACACTCTTGAGGTAGAAAAAGGAGGGTTTATTCTCATTCGAATCGCTCGATGCTGCACATGTGTTGAACTCCATTAAGCATTTCCGTACAATGTACATGCATCCATTCATCATAGCAAGACTCAAATCCCGTACAGAGGTGCAGTCTACACGGCAGAGCTATATTCCGAGTCTCGCCAATTCCGTCCATGTACAGTACGTACAGTGCAGTACATAGCAGAAATTAGTATCACCGTCGGAAGAATCCACTCTTCTACGGAGTTAGATGAGATTGATGATCAGCTAAGCATCAAAACTTATGAATTACTAGGGTTTGATTGGATAACAAGTCACATAATGAAGTGGATTCGAGAAAAAAGCTAAGACTTGACATGATCGTAATAGTATTAGATACCTACGATAGGGATCCATTTAGCATCGGTAAATGCCAGGATTAAAGGAGTTCGTGCCGAGATGTGAGCCCAAATTGATCAAGGGTGCGAAACTACCTACGGAGAATGTCCTCCTCGTCAATTCAAATTTTCCCTTCCAGCCACAATTGACACAATGCACGGAAGTTTGTATCGGGAGGTAGGTGGTAGTGATATGGTTAGTTAAGGGATAAGAAACGAGAAACGAGAAACGAGAGAGAACAGACAATAACGATCAACAGGAGGAAAGAACAGATTTCAATACACAGTACACTGTAAACAAGATTTCAAACATTAGATAATTGAGCGGTCAGAGAAAACAAATAGATATGTGTAACTCTCACTACATATCGAAATTCATGCGCCGTCAGCCTCAAATAAAAATGGAATCTGGGTTTATCTCGCGCACACACACCTACACATACACATACGCACACATACACACGCAAAGATCAGTCAGTACACACGCTTTCCCTTGGATCTTGATCTACCAATCTTATTGAGAAGTTAAAACCAATCTTCACTTGTCAGCCATCAAGATGACACTCGAACTTGAGAGAAGAGACCTCGTTAAACTTTTTTGAGAAAGGATCGACTAGGGTCCTTGGGTTCCACAGTACACACTAATAAAACCACTGTCGCGTGTGCATAAGCTAAAAATCAAAATCCAGGGTCTAATGCGAAATTTGATTGGTGGCCAAGTGTTCTCTTATCAGAGTAATTTAATTGGTTGCTGGTAGAGACACTATGATGTATTATTACGGTAACTCATCGGGAGGGCGGATGTTGAGGAGGGATCTTGGTTGGAGAGTTGGAAAGTTTGAAAAGCTTGAAGCTTGAAGCTTGACAGGTCTCGAGTCAAGACTCGAGAATGCTGCTGGGCAAATGGGCAGTGGAGGCTGATGAGAGAGGGTCGGTCGCATATAGGCAAGAGGGTCATAATGTTGTCGACTTTGGGGGAAAGGGGGGGGGGGGCCAATGGAGACACACATTGATCGGGGACTCCGTTTCATTAAAGGAAAAGAAACAATCGAGAGAACGTCTGAACAACTACAGAGTAACTAACTCAACATCTGAACACATACATCTGTGCTTTACATCTATCTGTTCTACACATCTGAAATTGCAAGATGCTGCAATCTGATGTTCTGGACTCCTTGATACCGAAACTTGCGTGTCTCGGTAGGTTTAGTACCGGTATCGTAAATTCAATAGCGGTTTTGAGTGACGACTTTTATCTCTTGGCTCTATGATGGTTTGGAATCCATCATGAAGATCACAAAGATAACCAACTTACTCGTAACTTGAGCATATATGGAGTACTTCGTAGAACTTGGGTACTCTGAAGAATTCACAGCGTCATTGGAATCTTGGGATCGCTCTGTGCAACGTAAATCAAAACCTTCCCTTATCTAAACTTTGTCAAACCAAGGAATCTATCTGGATAACTTTTGCAACTCATACCGTTCCACACAATGCACATCTCTTGGGGTTTCTCCGTAATCCCTTGGGTATGAATTCCATCGTCAAAACTCTTGTCCTTTGAGCAATCAATGGTGTTGTCCTGTAACAACCTACATGCTCGACGGTCGTATTACATGAATTTCGTGACTCGCGCATACGGCGGCGACTATCGGAGTTTGTCGGCGGTCGCTAATTAATTTATCGCTGTTAAGCTGTTTAGTTGAGGCTGTCTCACGAGTTGCTTTTCATCACATCCAACCAAATTCACCAGAGTGCACCCCTCCAAGATCCATCAATCAAACTCTCACCATGTAATTGGTCCGCTCTCATAGCCGACAAATTTCCCAATTCCAATCCATTTCCGGAAGATCCATTTTAACCGTTGAAGCATAGTAATACTCTAACCTCAATCAATCGTTAGTCTGGATTCTCGCCCTGTCGCCAGACGGAATCCAAAAATACTTGGCCACACAGAGAGCTGGGCTGGGTAAAGTCTCTAACGCTACCACTTAGTTGCCGAGAGCATTTCAATGACCGACAGCATGCTAATCGGTGCGACTTCTCAAGATCGTCACGAAACGCGATTCAATTAACTGTCTTTAATGACGATGTACAAATTCCAAGGCCCTGTAAGAAATGAATCTTTGGTACTTGGATGCAGAGCTCAGGGGCCTGATGATGGCCCTTCATGTTGATCCGGATTTTACCTTGGAGTTGCAACCACCGAGAGGTCATCTCTCAGCGCGGTAGCGAGTCTACTTCGTACTACAAACTCATCATGGGATGTAAATGCAAGAGATGCAGAAAGGTGGTATCACTGTGGGGTATTGGGGAAGGTTCTAGGGACTATTCGATACTCTAGAAGACCTAGAAAGAATCTGTACGGAATCAAATGGGCCATTCGATCACTGGACTCTTTTGTGGATTGTTGACAACTCAATCTTGGTGGCAAAAGATTAACCCAACAGCCTTGGAGCTTTTGAAGATCTGTTATCAACTCAACAACTTGTCACTTGTGCTGTGTCCTGTTTCCTGTGAGGCTGTGAATTTCTTCGGCAAATTGTCTTTGATTTCTTCGGATCTCAACCGGATTAATTCTGGCACTGAGATTGAAGGTGGAAATTTATACTGGGCCCTAATGTGGATTTTCAACACATCGACCCCTCCAGAAATGCGCCCCCATTCTTGGAGATTTCCGCTTCACGTTTCTTTTGAGGCTTGTTATTTGCAGTAGCGGACCCTTTTCACTCTATGGTACACTACCGATATTGGTGAGGAGGAGTGTAAGCTAGGATATGTATACAATGCATTGACAAATTTTGATCGTGAAAGCTGCATAGCATATAGAAGGGTTCATTTCCAGTCATGCGGAGGTTGAGATTTTAAATTATTGATTGCTGTTACCAGTTGAGGGTAAGTCTTCAAGAGAAGGACGTGCAGAAGTCAAGATTCTTCCGCTCCAGGTAAGGCTGCCCCGGATCCTATTGGAGTGGAGTAGCAGTTCCATGCTCGTCGAAGGAAAAAACAATGGTTCGTAGGAAAGAGAAGAGTCGTGTGAGGGATTTTTGAAGCCATCCATATTTTTGCCTAAATTAAGGGTCTGCGCGGGAAACGCGGACTATGGGGCGCTTGAATACCCATTTCGTACCCATTCCGCCCCATTGTGTGGCTGCATGGACCATCGTCAAAATTGACATCTCCGTGGTCTTTCGGTATGTTGGTGTAAGAGGAATTGTTCTTTGTTCACATCCGTTGCAACTTTGTGACCTTGATAATCTTTGGAAACTTGACGAAACTGGACACAATTGAAAGTGAGGATAGTTCCTGATCGTCGAGAATCGGGTCCTTCAACGGATCATGATAGTAGGCCGTCTTTCAAGGACGATCAAACCTCCATGAGGAAGTTGAATGCGCTCGTTTAAACCCCGGCAATGGAATATCTTGCCATATCACAGTCGTTTCTGTTCATATCTCTTCCTCGATCTGCGGTGATGCATTTCCAATCTTCCGTCAAGGATTGAATTGTCCGACATCGCAATCAGATTCTCGCACATGTTGATCCTTCTCACAATTGATGGCGGTTGAGAAATATCCTTGGAGCCATGCAGAATTGCTATCGTCGATTGATCGAAGGCTAGTGGTTCGATCTTCCTGCTGCCATAGAAGTTATCTCCAGAAGAATCCCCTACCCACACAAATAACGTACGAGTTGCTGGATGTCGATAAAAACCCTTGAATCGAAGATACTGTGTCATATCGGCTGAAAGTACCATGCCCTCGAACCTTCGATCGTCATGATATGAGCTGTTGCTTCAAAGTTGAGATCTGGGAAACCATGGCTTCTTCCTCGCAAGTTCTTGGGAGTTTGCAACATCTTGAGCCCTCACGTGCTAGATCTTCTAAGAGAGATAGACTAGCCTTCGCACACGCCAACAGGACGTGAGGAAGTCTCATACGGGAACTCGTTGAATCATAAAAAAGGGTTCATGCCTCATTTATTTTCTTGCTTTGTATCAAATACATGGCATTTGCTTTGTCTTCTCTCGCTTAGCTTTTCTCCGGGTTTGCGATCCCTTGAGAATTTTACTGGAACTCTCACTCGCCAGGGATCAATTGTTGCGACCACAAATCCCAATATCCATGAGTTGCGTGCCCTCATATCTTGAGAGCTCTTATTTCCATATTCTGATATCCCCATAGTAGATAAAGCAGATTTCATGAAGATATTTTTCAGCCCATCTATTGCGGCGGTGCAAACGGAATAGGTATGCAATAAATGCGAGTCTACGTATTGGACCAAAACTGTGGAATAGAACCTGCCAAAGCTATGGCGCATAATGCGGCTTGTTACGTTTCGACCCGACCTCCTTAATTGCGGAAATGCACAGCATGATTTCAACCCCTTCGAATGAGGTCATGGGATTGGCACCGCATGGTAAGTCTACTGCCAATGGGGAGAATATGACGAAAAATGTACTCTCCACGGAAACGTGCTGCGGATACTACCAGTGTGTGCTCTACATCAAACGAATCATCTCGCCACTCAAAATTGCATTTTGGGCTCGTTTGTTTGTCTCAAGGCACAATGATGTTGGTACAGGGGGCATCCAGCTTCGAATTAAATAAATGCTAGTTCTTGCGCCCATGAATACTACCTAAATGCACTCGGCCTTGGACAATTCGCAAATGGCACCTTAATTACCGGTCTCAAAAGGAAATACAATGCAGGATTCCTATATAATGTGTACGAATGGCCATATAATGCATAGCTTGGAAAGTTTGTTTGTTTCCTATCTATTGATTTGCGGCGTATTGAGAGCCTTGCATGCAGCCTTCCGGCTGCTTTGGTTGGACAGACAAGATTGAGGGCCTCTATCCATCATTCACAATCAAAAGTGGTCATCGTTGTTGGTAAATGAGACGAGTTGAAATACCACTCACTATCTTTCTCATCATGTACTCGTAAGAATATCTGAAGGACTAGAATAGCATTCTGAAAATATAATTACTCGTATCGTTTCCTATCATCTTCGCTGACACATTACGTTCTGATGCACACCTTCAATTTGTTTAGAGACGCTGGTGATTATAGCGAGTAGTATGGCTAGCTGGCGAGGTGATACCGTAAGTCGAGGATGGCAGGAGGGAGATGAAGAAGATGGGAGTTGGAGAGGCAGAAATAGAGGCTCGGGAGGTATTGGAAGACAAAGTTCTCGTAGAAGCTTCGGCTCGCATGTTCGCGGTCGCGGCCGCGGCATTGGAGAGAGAGGTCTGGGTAATCCCAATCGATCGGATGAAATATGCTGGAGCTTTCAAAGGACAGGCAATTGCCCACGCGGATCGCGATGCAGATTTTCTCGTGAAGTCTCGTATGCCGATGAAGTGTTTCAACAACCTCGTTCAAGGCCCGACGAGACATTGGCCCGACAGGAAGCCAGAAACGCTTATTCTAGTTGGAAGTACCTCATCAAGTCCCACCCTAGACCCAACGATATCCGAACTACAGAAATGCTGTGGCATGGTGCTCTTAAGATTTTGAATGGCGAAGACCGAGACAATAAGCAGATGGTCCCTCAAGATCTAGAAAATGACAATTTTTTTGGTCGCGAACACATTCGGGTCCTTCTGGGGATGACTACTCATACGAATTGCGCAGGAACATATGTCAAACTTGTGCAGCCTTTCCTAGATGTCATGACACATCAGGCATTATTGGACTGCTTGTCTATCGACACTTGCGTGGGGAACCTCTACAATCTTATCAGTGGCAGTAACGGATTTCGTGCAATTCCATTCTTTCAAACTCTTATGACCAATCTGCTGGAGATACATTATTCTTCCAACCAGGCTTCCACTGATGAGATAGAGAGGACTTTGATCGCAATTTCTACTTGACTTCGAGAACTTCTCAGACGAGAACGACATGCGTTGTTCCATGATGACCTTCCCAATGTTGTGACTTCACTCGAGACTTCTGTGGCTATCATTAGTATCGATCGAAATTCGGCAGCTTTTGCCATAGTTCCATCTCGCATTCAAGAAATTCAAGGCATGATAGCCCGAGCTAATGGACTTCTTTACCAAGAAGATCAGCAGCAGGTTGATGGTGTCTCTACCGCAGTCGTATTGACATTACCTTCAACCATCGACGAGGCTTGGAAGTCCAAATTTCATTCTCTCATCCTCCACAATTGGTCAAAAAATCTAAATAAAAAAAGACAGGGGAAAGTGATGGAAAGAGTCGAAACGACTCGCCGAAGGCGTTTTAATGTGTTTACTCTCATTCAATGGAACGAAATGCACTCCATTATTTTTAACTGTCACAAAAAAGTCCACGGGTCTCGACTTGGATTACAGCTTGATTTCAAACGAATCGCGAGCGATTGTCACTGCAAAACCTGCTATTGGAAGTTCAAATGATTCCGAGAGCCTGGCGCTGTTGAACTCAAGCTCAGCTAGAGGAATTATGGTAGAACTTCCTAGTGTAATTCTCGCCACTTTCACGCCTATTCTTGAGAATCTCCAAGACAAGCAAAGACTGAATCGATTACCTTTTCGTCAATGGATTTTGCCTGACCGTCGACAGTTTGGTAGTTCAACCACCCTGAATATACCACCCCCATTATATGCCCGTGGATCAAGATCGGCGTATTCGCTGGACTCTATACTACAAGATAGGTCAAAAGGTGATTTACTGATCAAAAATTCAGTATCCTCGGTCGATGATGCCGGACTCATTGATGAAATTGAACAACGAACGGAACTTGATCGTGGGCAAAGTGAAGCATTACTTGCTGCTCTTTTACGATAGTTCTGTCACATTCAGGGACCTCCAGGCACAGGAAAGTTTTTTCTAGGCGTAAAGCTTGTCAAAGTCTTATTAGCATGCAAGACGGTGACACTTGGTCCCATAATCATCGTGTAAGTTGAATGCTCTTTAGTTCACGGCTGTAGGAGACATGGCAATGGTCCTATGATCCCACATTTTACATTAATCAATCTTGCGCAGTTACTACACGAACCATGCTCTCGACCAATTTCTTGAATACTTGGTACAATCCGGCATTGGGAAAGTGATTCGAATAGGCGGACAAAGTAAATCGAAGATCCTAGATGGAAAAAATCTTCGAGTGGTCTCTCAAGGTGAGACTACAACCAAGCCCGAAAGTAACACGCTTAGAACCAGTCACTCGGCATTGGAAAGTGAAGAATATCATGTGGAAAAGCTTCTTCGACAATTGAATGGACTTGGAGATTATCCAGAGTGGGGATCATTAAAAGACTACGTCGCTCGACGCTATCATGAAATTTACCAACAATTCGACAGGTTTGACGAGGAAGGATTCGAAACGGTGAGGATCCCTTTTTTCTTACAAGTGGTAAAATTCCTCCATTCCGCTTGACCATGCTAATGATATATAACAAGGTTGGTGGAGAGCCTTTCAATTTATGGCTCAGGTACAACACTGAAATGGAGGGACAAGCACCAACGTTTTCGGCGACATGTACAATAGATGACTTGATAGAGTTCGCAAATGTCAATGTGCACGCACTAAAGGGCAACGAAAAGATCATTCTTGTTAGACTTTTGGCAGAAGAAACACGCAAAGAAGTCACGAACGACTTATTTGAGTCCATAACTCGGACCGAGGAACATAGCCAGGCAATACAGAACGTATATTCTGGTAAAGACCGGCGTGTATTACAGGGAGCGGATATCATTGGGGCGACTACGACTGGTCTTGCAACGAAAATGTCGACTTTGAAACACGTCAAAGCTAAGGTGATTGTCTGCGAGGAAGCAGGGGAGGTTCTTAAGGCTCATATGCTGTCTGCACTTCTACGTAAGTAGTATTTTTTTGTTCGGTTTGAAGCGATGATAGGATTCAGAAATTGCCAAAGTTATCGATCTGTCAAGCTAATTTTCATTGTTTACAGCAAGCGTTGAACATGTCATCTCTATTGGGGATCACGAGCAGCTCCGTCCCTCAACCAACAATTACAATTTATCTCTTGAGAGCCAAGCGGGAGCTTCATATAAACTAGACCACAGTCAATTCGAGAGGTTATCTGTTGGTGACCCCGGACGGCTCACTCTTCCAGTGGCTCAATTGAATATCCAACGTCGTATGCGCCCCGATATATCGAGATTGATCAAGACAAAATACCCGAGGTTGATTGATCACGATGTAACTAAAATTCTTGCAGACGTTGGTAGCACATCCCTTGTCTTATCAAGTAACGGAAACAATCATACGATACCGATACAATAAAATGATTTATTCTCCAGGTGCTAGAATGCTATATTAGAACGAGGGCGGAGCAAGAAATTCTGGCGTTGGAGAGCAATACAGAACGGGTGTCAAAGATGAGGAGCAAACGATTGAATGCATTGAAAGTAAGGGTGGCGTGGAGAGATGAAGCTGTATTGCAATTTCAATGTCATCAGAATATATCCTATATCCGATAAAAATTCTCTGAAACAAGTAATGTCATATATCATTCTCAATTTCGCCGCTTCAAGAGGCCAACCATCTGTCTTTCACCTTCCCGTTACTTCAAGCGCCATTCTAATCAAACGGAAAGAGTGCGACAACATTTCACCAAGTTGGATACTAACTAGTTAATCCTCAGTCAACGATTGACATGCTAAATTAACCAAATGATTCTTTCCTTGAGGAACAGAACATGTGAATACTTGCTTTCAATTATCAACATTTATGACACGGAACAACTGCTCCTTCCAAAACCAGCTAGGTAGGAATGTTTTCGGTTTCTTCCCGCGCACAATTTTGATCGGGCGGTTGGTGCTTCACAAATTCGCCTTCTGTTTGAAGGGGTCCAGGATTTTTGAATCATTCTGAGACGAAGAAAAATAAATGACGAGGAACAGATCGCCCGTCGGCAGAGCCAAAAAAACTGTTGACGCGGTAAGTTTCCTCTAATGAACGATGGAGCGAAGGTTTAAGGGATTTAGGAATTAAGATAGACCAAGTGAGGCGTGAAGGGGTCAGGGGTAAAGAGGAAGGCGGACGGGAGTCTGGTTATGACTGGCAGCATAGTCAGACCGTTAGTTGTGGGATATTCCTTTTCCCAGATCCTGTTATGAGTGATCTACATGGCCTTTTCGAAATTGCAAGGCGGTTCAATGTCATGTAGGATACAGCTTTGAAAATGATGAACAAGACCAAATTGGGGAGGGACTTGTGAACTAGCCGTTAGTTCAAAAGATATGAGCTGACACGATGGGATGAACAAATTAAAATGCCTCTAGAGTATAGTCATATCAATCATATAATATAGGGATATTGCCCTGCAAAAGAAATCCTAATTTCGGAATAATATTTGGGTAAAGAATTAAAAATTAAGAATCAAACAACAAATCGATCAATTGTTGAAGACACCACTAACATTCTAGTATCAGATATGCTAACATTCCATCAAATAACCATGCAATGTGAAAAGGCGGTCTCTTCACGCTTTTTAGATCCCATGGCGGTGCATACCACATGCATGGTTACCTTCAACTCTCATGGCATGATTCTGGTAATGCTGAGGTGAATAGGACGCAAAACATGGATAACAAACATACACTAGAAGATAGAGAAAGTAGACCGAGCTGTCGGGAAATAAATCTCGGAATTTGATATAGGTAAAAGAAAAAGGTACATGTGCAGGGGCGGAATAGAACACATGGCGAACAGAAATGTGAAGACTTCTCATGGCTGTTGATTTACCAAATTAAAATTGTATGATGCTTAACCATTTTACCATTTCATGATTCAAGATTCAATAATCAAGATTGAAAGGAAGAAAGAAACCTTGAAGCAAAACGCCCTAAATGACAGATGTGGGGTGATTTCTTTGGACTACTCACTCAAATTCGATCGGTGAGCATGAATGGACGACTTGTACAATACACATCACCGCCAGCAATGTCGTAGTGACTCGACTCACAAGTGATTTCAAATCATGTCCTGCGATAAGGCAATCAATATCGACCAAAACCTGACTCTTGCAATATGGCTGTAGCACAATGACAACCACTCGGTGTCCTGTTGCGGTGACCCGGCCCCGCCAACGAAGAGCCGACACTTCGACACATGCTACAAGGCAAGACAGGATACGGATTCAGCAAAAGCTTGCGAGAAAGGATCATAATTGAAGCCTTGATGGCGAATAGAAAATCATGCGCATTGATGAATTGATGAAGAGGGGGGGTATGCCTTTCGCGTCATGCTCCATCGAAATCCTTCTCGTACTTCTTTCTACTTCCCTTCTCTCCTTTTTCAAATTAAAAATAAAAAGGAAATAACAAGCCATACCGGATCAGTTTGGCAATTGCCACCCAATAAAATCGAGATTCTCTTTCTTCACGGATCCTCTTCTCGAAGTTTCATTTCTTTCTTTTTCGTACCGAAAATACAGAATGTGACGCCTCTAGCTCTGTTCCCTGTTCATACTTGCATCGATTCAGTCGATCAGTACCTAGGTTAAAATGAATGATGATAAAAGCAAAAAAAACGGCAATGCGACGAATCTTCTTAGAATCAAGCCATAGAATGGACTTCTGCAGGGGAAAATGCGACTTGCGATCAAAGAAATGGACCGTTGAAGCGAATCAAATTATCATCGCATTCAAGACTTGAACAATTGAACAATTTGGATCATTCCATGCTGGTAGGAGTGATAAAAATGCTGGAGCCTAGAGTTTAAGACTGTTGAAGTTGCACGAAAGAGAGCCACAGTACAAAAATGTTGCCATTTATAGTTACAAATGACCTGCTGTTGCATATTCTGCACATTCGATTTCGATTTGCGACTGGAGAAAGAAAAGCCTCAAGCCTCAACACACCACAAATTTCTGACCATGGCAAGACTATTCTCATAACCATGACCATTACCATCACACACACCGATATAGCCCAGTGGAAACTCTTTCAACCATAATCATGATACCCATGGACTCTGCTCTCTGTAACCCTACTCATACGACTTTTCGAGACAATCAAGTTCCTTCCATGGTACAGACTGTAACTCTATGGCGCCTTGAAATGAACCGAACTTTGTTGCCTTTCGAGTGACATCCAATGGGCAAAAGTGAGCTTCCTTGTTGGTGAGCAAGCATGCCACGTTTTCGAAGTCGATCCAACAACGGAATGGTGCCCCGGGGGAGAGGGTATACACACCAAACACAATCAAGAAGATTTAAGCGAATGATTTCCTGTTCGAGCATACTGAAAGCATTGGGGTGAATATCCATTATTGACGAGGATTTTGATTAAACTTTTGGGGTAAGCTAAGATTCTGCCCCGGCCCGTCTAGTTTCACTGCTAAGATGCTAAGACATTACTAAAGGTGCTGAAGTACTACATCTATTCATGGGGTACCGTTACAGGTAACCGAAGGCCACGGACTCCGGTTTTCATCGGTAAAGAAATGTAGGAATCTGGAACCTAAGAGCCTTGGAGGAACTGTGAGTGTCCGAAACCTCTGAAAGTATGCTATGTATGTACTCTGAATTATCGTGACATTGACTGGTAACAGGCTTGATCGAATTGCGAATCGGATCAATAGTAGTTCCTGATTTTCACTGATCTTCAAGTCGGCGACTTGGCGGAGATTCCCAAGATTGAATGCATCAAGGTGCATCGGGGGTCACAAAAAAGAAGGTCGTACTGTTGTGCACTTTTCACGTGGCTCTTGCGGATAATGAATTAATTCACACCCAGGAGGTCGTAGCTTTTTTGAACCATGGGTACGGTTTTGAAAAGCCCTCTATGCGAGACGGATAACGACATTCGAAGACCATTCTATTTCAAGATATCTACTCCGCTTTTAGTTGCAAATCAAAGTGTCTATCAAATCTACTTTTGTGAGCCCGAGGAAGTGGGTAGCACAGATCATTCAACTGGGATTTCGATGAGAGGAAATCCCGCTTTGACTAAAATGCTTGTAGAAGGAAATGTTGATGGCACAGGGGAAGCGATATTATGGAAAGTTGATTGGTTACCCTTACGATCTGAATCTTATTTGATTGGCAAGCAGAGCCTCATGATCATGTCCAAAAATACCCACCCTGAGCATCTTGCATCTGTATCTCTATATGACACGAGGTATAGCAAGGGGTATAGTATGAAGATCTTCAGAATCCGACAGGGTCAGAGAGCCCAACCGGGGCAGAACCCACGCGAGGTAATCACTTTAACAGTTCACTTGGTAACAACATGACCTAAAAGAATCTTGAAAATGCTACCTGTTGATATCTAGGAGGAATGAGATCCCAACTGAACTATTTCGTTTTAGACCCAGTTCATGGGAATTAGGACACGGTACTGCAAGCGGAAGTCAACTTTGGAGCTTAAGCATCCGCCTGCAAGAGGGTTACTAGCCTTGTATCAGCTTCAATTTATCCTATTGGACAAGATACTGAGCTACTTACCCGTAACCCAGGACATTTTTCCATACCAAATTAGTGCAACCACACATCTTCACAAATCTTGGCAATCTCTTTACAAAAAGCAAATTGCTTTTACATCAACTCATCATAGTTAGTCCAATACACTATTTGGATGTGGTACATTAACCCCTCATTCAAAAAATTATCGATCAGGACAACCTTGCGATGGTGGTAGAACTTAGCGAATAGATGTGGTTGGGATGTTTCCCCCGCTGTCGAAGAGTCGAAAAGTCTCTCCATAGCTTCTTCGGTATCGTAAAAGTTTCGGACGAACCCTAAAGGTTCGCTCTTTTTTGTCTCATCTCGTCGCCCAAACAACATGCTTTTCCAAGAAGTTATTATCGCGATCACATTTTTCCGTTGGCACAGGTTCTCCTGCTCGTCTTCGTTGGCAGCATAAATTCAATATTGTTTGCATAATCTAATTAATATCCAAAGGATACACCGCTCAAAGAAATAACAATTTTCACTATACCTTTCGTCCCGAGGTTAATTCGTCTCCAATGATTGAGATGTTTGGGAGGCAAATAAGATCATCGTCGTTGCAATGATAAACACAATGGATGGACAACTAAGGTAGATATTGACAAAGTGGGCGACGCCAGCCATCATATGGAAGCTGAAGAACCCTTTTCGATTGAAACGTTGCTCCTCGGTAGCAGCTCACTGCAGATTGAAGTTACATTAATGAATCTCAATTGCGTAGAACCGTTGGCTATAATTATTTTTTGATCAACCACACCCACATCGACGGAAATTTCTGCACTGTGTCTGTACTGAAATCTGCACTGACTATCGCTTCCAAAATGTCAAGCGTCACTGTGACGACAGAAGGAGCGCGATTGGCTACAGTACGAAAATCTACAACTAGCGGTGGAGAGATTACCAATGACGGTGATGACCGAGAGCATGCGTGACGATCAATTGGTCAATTACTCAGCCCTATAGCAGAGATGCCTTTTCCAGGGCTACAAAGCTCAAAGCTAGGCATTGTGAATTATGGCTAGCTACAATGCACCAGGCTGTGAGGCTGTGCAACACAACTACGATGTATACAGGAAACATCTGACAACAAATTTCTATGGGTCTAATATACTTGCATGTTTCTTGTTGCTGACCAGATAATGAAGTGGATTCTCTGCACTACCTCCCTTAGTCTGAGTAAAGGAGGCATTAGAAAACTGCCACAAAACAACATCTGCGTTCTCAAATGCCGGAGGAACACCATGGAGCCGGTAGGTAATGTAATATCAAATTCTTCGTCTCCAGGAGTGCATTGCTTTGGTACAGAACACATCTATCAAATAAGCCATAGCCAGCCTTCACGATGTGCTATAAAAATTAGACGCCCTGGTTGTATCAAGGGGTACCACATGGAGAAGATTCGCAAGATATTCTGATAATAGCAACTCCAACGGGTCTGCGTTTGAGAATTAAATTCACCAGCCAATTCCATCGTTAGGACCCGACTATAATCTTGAGAACTCGGTGCCAAGACGGCGAGGATTACTATTACCAGGATTTGTAGCCAATCACTGATGATCGAGCTCGAAGAAAAGGGGTTCATAGGGCTGAATTCCGAAGAGTTGCAGAAGAACGTGAAACCAAAGGGACATGCTCTGTTTGAGGGAATGAAGCTTCTGGGGGTAAGATGAACTGTGTGTGTGTGTAGAAGAGGTGTTTTTGGTGACTTAAAGGGCTTCTAGAAGGATTTGATCCTTCGATAACGACGACTATGCTTTCACAAAACCAAGGATACACATACACACACACACACACACATAAAAAAGGACATTATATCAAGGCCAGGTCAATCAATATAATATCCACACATTTGGTCAGATGGTTCAATCCTTCTGTGACACGACCCAAAGAAAGATATTGTGGAGATCTCATGCATGATTTGAAATCAGGGGCGGACGTTGTGTGTTGTATAGAGAGCAATGATTCATCTTGAGTGAGGAGATGAACGGACAGAAAAGATAACTATGATGGAAATCTGCCTCGTGAAATGGGTCCTGCCGTCCCGTCCGTTTCCGTAGTGTATAGAGTACGGACGAACTTTTGGTCTGTTTACAACTGTTGGACAGGGGCATGTGGCTCGTGCATATCTATAATGACCTGGTACGTGATAGAATGTGATGCCATCAAGGCTATCATCAACGAAACGATCAGTTTACGAGAGGCCCGATAGTGACTAATAGTATCCGTCACAATGCAGAGAAACTTCATATGCGTTTCAAAGCTTCCATTTGGGTTCGTTATCATATCGAGCAATTATGACGATGTGAAGAGATGAGATAGATGGCTGTGCTCTCGAGGCTGTGCAACATGTAGAAGAAAGGGAAACAATTGTGATTATTTTCGGTGGGGAATTTGGGGCACATGAGACGAGAATGTGTGAATATGTGTGGCCGAGTAGACTGTAGAGAATGCAGTAGCCACTCCTGGGCGTGTGTTTTCGTTAATCCTTCGTACTCGGGCCAATCATTTGCTGTAGACCCCTGACTAACCTAGCCACAGACCATTTTACTCATCAAGAGGGCTCCGGGGGGACAAAGTTCTCTGTTTCCTTTTTATCATTGGGTTTGATCGACACAGTGGTAATGGTATGCTAGTTCGAATACACTTACAGATACGCGTTTTTGTATTCGGGTGGTGTCGGCGGTTGCGAGAGGTTTGGATTAGTACATGTCTAGGTGGATTTCAATAATTAGTCCCAAAGATTGATCCTATAACCCCTCAATCCTGACCAAGGTACTTGATGGAATTATTGTCACCATCATATTCAACCGGTAAAAGTCCAGATCTATTCCTGTCACCATGTGTTCGTTCATTTTCAATCGATCAATCAATCGATCAGTCTCGGTACTATTGCATCCAGGCAACAACAAAATGTACCTTTCGTCGATCATCCGAGGAGTGCATGGTTAAATAAATTAAAAGCATGTATGTACAGATAGATATTGAGTTTATTGTTTCGTCGAATGGAACGATGTAACTCAAGATTTCGACTCCTTCGCCAAAATGAACTGTCCTAAAGACGAAAAATGTCTCTTTTAAGAAATGTGCCAGGGAGTCTGCCAATGAATGAAGATCTAGCCGTCGATTCACAAGCATTGCACCCCACTCAATTCGCCTTATTTGTCTGAGAGTAGCGAAATCAAGCGAATGAGACAGGGTTCATTTAACTTTAATGGGATTTCCCCACCCGGATTGGGAGGAGACTGGGAAAGAAAGGAAGATCTACATGAGAGGGGGGGAGGAGGTTTTCATTCGTCGCACATCACTTGATATGTTGAATTGAGGAGTTGACGAGGGTGAGCGAATATCATTTTGTTGCGATCTGTAGACCATTCGCTCGCAAAAATCTCCCCTTTTCATGCTTTGATCCATGGATTCTTGACATCATGATATCGAATCTTGAAAAAAAGTTGATTGTGCGTGTAGGGGATACAACTCTGTAGTTGGTTGTACGGTACATATCCACACATCCCATATCGTAAATCCTCAAATGTTCCCCTGCCCTAGTAGATTTGTGATGGTAATCAATCTTTAAAGTCTCGGGAACAGCCAGCGACAGGGGAGCCATGATTTTTAGCACGTTCATCTAGGGATTTCCAGGACTCATGATCTGGTTGGCTTGTTCTACGATATCTCATCTCTCTCTTCTGGCCTAAGCACTCTTTCGTAATCTTACCCCAAACTACAATTAAACTTTTCTCCTTGTATATTAGGTGGATGGGTATGTGTGTGTGTGTTCCAAACTGGTTTGGCAAATAGATAATGAAAGTGGAGCGAGTCTTGAGTCTTGACCGACTAGACGGAGATGGCGATGGTGGGACGGAGATTCCAGGCGGCCACTAATAATGCACGCAGCGCCAGTCCTGCAAGTTACCCCCATCCCTTGTAAGGTTATTGAGATCCTGTGTGCGAGGTAGGTGCAAGGTTGTATGCCCAGCAAAGTGGAAAGTCCGCCATACATTTGCCAGATGCATTCGGGTAAGGCTGTGTATGATTCTTCCAAGGTGCCTGTTGTGTTGTGAATGGAATAATGGCGTGTGAAATGAATTTGTGGATTCAAGTGCATTGCTTAGTTTTGGTGCACTAATCATTATGCATACACTGCGGTGAGGTAAGGTAAGGTGATAAGGTCGGTGGAGGAGCGACCAGACCGAGGCCACGGAAAAAAGAAGCCACAATGTGCTGTGCTGTGCTGTGCTGTTTGGATATGAATACTACTTCTGTGAAGAGGAATCTGAGCCTAGGTAAATTGTGGACATAGTTATTGGATCGGATCGTAAGAATATATTTTTATTCAACGACCGTTCTGTCAATCTGTCACTCTAGATGAGGTCTGTGATGATTTTCGTCTAAAGAAACATTTTAGTCAATTAGTCAATTAGTGACTGTTAGCCTATCTACCGGGAACTAATCTCAACAGACGTAGTGCTATCCTATCTGCGGGAATTTCCAGCGGTTTTTTCTTCTTAATTTTGGATCTAGACTGGAATTGTACCTTACTAGTGGTGTCTATCGTACGTATTGTATCAACCTTACCAATTAGATACGTCTAGATGTGTGTATGTGCGTGTGTGTGCAAAGTAAACAATCTTTTGACTAGATAATCAATAAAGTAAAGATACCTTCCATAGGGTCTTTTGGGGGTATTGAAGTCAAATCGCAACCTATCAAGGGTTAATTGACAATAACAGGTTAGGGCAGACAAGAAAAAAAGAAAAAGAAACATTTTGCTCCAAAGTAAGAGAATCCCTGAAAATGATTTGCTCAAAATGCCCATGTCCCAATCTCAAGGTTCAACATCAACCCCATGTCTCCTTTATCCATGTTTCCATGTCCGGGCTTAGCATCTTGCATTTTTCTGGGTCGGCCATTTTGAAGCCTTCTTATCCTTTCCCGTCCAGAACTACTCCATACCTAGTAATTTTTTATTTTTCGATCTCACTAGACAGTCCCATTGCATCTCCATACCACCAATATTACAATATAATATTAATCCTCAAGATGCCCCCAACTTTCTAGAAAAGGAACATGTTCGTGCTCATCCTTCATCATACACATCTACACTCTCCACCCCATATCTACTCCATATCATACCACCAGGATTCAAGAACACCTAGACAGGCCTTACCAAACTACTACGAACATTGATACATGTCCCGCTCTCCCGCTTGGCAATAAACACATCAACCTTGAAAGGCATCGATCATCCTCCCCGAACTAATGCATCATACCTAATCTCACACCTTCTACCTAAATTAAACCCTACATTACTATCTTGTCTCTCGTCAACCACATTCTCTGTCATCATACCTTTTATATATATATATATTCTCCGCGCCTCGTCTTCTTCTTACGTCGGCTTCCTTCATCGGCTTCCTGTCTCAGATCATATCTCCAATCCCCAAATACTACCTTGATTCAACTATTCCCAAGTATCTACATCAACTTGCACAACGACACCCTCACGAAATATCTACACATTGCAACCCTCTTCGATATATAGCATACTTTCTTACACTGGAACTGCAAAGGAACCAAAGGTATTTCGCATACAGCCTTGGGTAGATGGTCCGTGAAGCAGTTTACTGATCGGTATATCTAGTCGGCGATAAGTGTGGCTATCACCCCAATTCAAAATAGCCAGCCATCACCGTCTTCGTAATAAGCTCTCACAACACAACATGGTCTCGGTATCTGATCACTCATTCCATATGCTATCGCGACACATGGGAAATCAAAACGAGAACGACTTTCCACTTTTCCCCGAAGCAAATATGTATTCTCCTCAATATCCATACAATGGCATGCCAAACTTCCAGATCGAACACGACGCTGCGTATGCATACCCGAGAACACAAGATATCTACCCTACCAGTACCGGATTCGATTCCACAAGTATGTATAGCGAAGTTCCGCAACATTTTGTTGAGTCACCAGAACTTAGAGGAACTGCGCCATCAAATTACTCCACAGCGAGTGGACCCTCCGCGACATCCTCGACCATGGGCTCTCCCAACTCAAACCACGGCCACATGGTTTCAGTATCTGAGTGGGGTTCTGGACTTGGCATCAATCCAAGTATCGTGAATTACGATAACTTTGGTCAAGGAACCGACTACAACTTCTCTGCAGGTATGGAAGACTTTACTGTAGATTTCAATTCAGCCAAACCAGGCTTTGTTGGTGAGTGTGAAAATATCTCTAGATCTACACCTCGTCAGAACCGTCCCATTTTCTCTTCATCCTCTCCTATTCATGATTTTCATACTCCAATGGATTCTTCGCGATCAATTGCTTCACCAATCACACCCGTCAGTGCGTTTCGAAAAGAATGTAGAGAAGAATGTTTGAAATTTCCTCATGTCTCTGCACTTTCAATTACTCCTGTATCTGGTCGACCAATTTCAAGCTTTAAGTCTCCAACTAGCGCGGGTCGTAGTAACGAGATAAGGTTATCTCCCGTTACTACTTCAATAGCGCAAACATTCACTTCGAAACCGACATCATCATATTCTTCATTTCAACAATCTCCTTTCTTTTCTCAGTCTAGTGGCAATTTTGTTGCTCCACTTGAATCTTCTTGTGTGTTTTCTCTCTGTCAATTCCGGCACTAGTTTCATACACTTTTCTTCGCCAAGCAAACTCAAAAAGGATTTCATACTAACATCAATTTCTAGACCCATCCATTTTACATGCTCCTTTCTCCGCTACTCGCCCAACATCAGCTGTTGGACAATCCGAATTGTCTCCTTACCAAGCACCAATGTATCCTACATCTCCATCACCATCCCAACACTCCTCAAGAAGCCCTGGACCTGCCAAGGCCGATAGCGCAAGCCCTTACTTGGGCTCTCAATATTATCCATATCCAGCACCAATGATCAGACGGCCATCTTTGACAATCTCTCACCAATCATATGGTTCCCAAGATGGTAACTTTAGTGGTGAAGAATCAAAAGAAAAGGGTCGCTGCACCTGGCCAGAATGTGGAAAGATCTTCAAAGATCTTAAAGCTCACATGTTAACCCATCAAAATGAGCGCCCGGAAAAATGTCCCATACAGACATGTGACTATCACGTCAAGGGCTTCGCTCGAAAATACGATAAAAACCGCCACACCTTGACCCATTACAAAGGGACAATGGTATGTGGTTTCTGCCCAGGTTCCGGATCTGCGGCAGAAAAATCCTTCAACCGTGCTGATGTCTTCAAGAGACATCTCACTTCAGTACATGCCGTAGAACAAACTCCACCAAACAGCCGTAAGAAGACCTCCGCAAGCATCAACAGTGGCAAGAAGCTCTCCGGATATGCACCAGATGCTACTGGAAAGTGCTCTACCTGTTCGGCTACTTTCAGCAATGCTCAAGACTTCTATGAGCATCTCGATGACTGTGTTCTTCGCATTGTTCAGCAAGAGGAACCTTCCGAGGCGATCAATGCTCGTCGCCTTGCAGAGGTCGAACAAGATCACGATGTTCATGAAACCCTCCGCAACAACGCCCTCCCAGTCACTACCAACGTTTACTCAACAGCCGAAGAAGACGATGATGAGGAAGTCGACGATGAAAACGACGACGACTACTCCATCCGTGTCCGAACTTCCCGAAAAGGCCGTCAAAACCGCAATCCAGTCAACGGTGTTCAAAAGTCTAGAGGCATGACACACTCTAAAGGTGGCGTCACTCTAAACACCAAAGGACGTAAGAAGCGCAAGGACTATCCTTCATCATGGGGATGTCCTACATCTCAAATGAAGATGAAGAAACGTGTTCTCACTGTCTTCGATGGACCTCGTCGTCTCTGGAAAGACGATATGATGCTCGATACCGATTACGAGGTACGCATCAAGCTCGGTGATGAAAAAGCTTACGTTACCGATCTCGATGTGCAAACTATGAGAAGAGCGGAGGCCTTCCACAATGCTACTGAAGAGGAAAAGGGACCTTGGATCGCAGATGATTTGACGGGAATGGATTTGGAGAAGTTGATGGAAGTTAAGAGAGAGATGTAAATTCCTTCTCTTTTGACTTTGCCTTTCCACACTCTACTTTTGGTTATGAGGTTATGAGATGGACTTTTTTTTATGATTTGCTCAAATGAATTGGGGCATTTTGCATATGTTTTATATCGGCGCTCTGGATACCATTTACATATATCTAAGGGAGATATACTTTAACGGGACGGGACGATACCATTTTTTTATTCTACTTTTCTTTTACCTTCTCTTTTTTTTTGGAAAATTTTATACAATATCATATTACATGTATGGGCGATATGGATTCGAGGACAAGACAAAAGTCGCGGTGTGCTCTTTTCTTTCTATTTCGATCTACTTGCATTATCTATTGCATATGCATCAGACAGAGTTTTGCTATGGGGGGTTTTCTTTCACGTGAATTAGGAGATACATGAGGAAGGGAAGGATCTAAGATCGCTACTTTGGCTGGCCCATTTTTGTGGTGTATTTTGGAACGGGGAAGGCGGTTGCATGGGAGGGGATGTGTCATGGCATTATTGCGTTACTTACTGTATGTGGAAGAATTGAAAGTAAAGTAATAGTTAGTCAGTCTAGGAATCTAGAAAAGAATAAAGAGCATTGGCCTCTCAACTCAAATATCATACTGCATTGAATGTGTCATGGATCTTTTTTTGAAAATTGGTGGAAAGAATAAGCAGCTGTCAGTGTGCGTGGATCGCCTTGCATTATGCCTATCGCGCTGAGATCCGATTGTTGGGACTGCACGCCATGTAGATCATGATCGGCATTGATGTGATGAATTGATCGATAGATTGACGTAAAGCTAGCTCCGCCTTGCAAATGTGAGTAAACATACATCATCAGTCCAAGTCCACGAATGAAGCGAGATCCGGCCGGAGCGAAAGGAAGGTGTAGGGCAAGCGGGTATCCGGATTCATCTTGCGTCGTGCATATCGTATGTGTAGGCTTATGCATAGTCTAATGCAGATGGGCGAATTGAGAATAATGTGCGTTTGGTGGCTGCGTCTTGATAGTCATGAGAAACGATTGATTGAAAGGAGATGCCGAGGATGCATTGTGAGGGGTTAAAAAGGGCTAATAGAGGAGAGCTGGGAAGGGCTGGGAAGGAAAGTTATTGGTTGGTAACAATGTGACAGTGCTAAGGTGGTATTGGGTTGTACTGGGGATAGTCAGGTTAAGGCATGAGATCTCTTGGAATACTTTGATGTGATGGAGTGTGATGGATGGGTGCGTGGTGCGGTGCGGTGTGGTGTGGTGTGGTGTGGTGTAGTCTGGTTGAGTGGATCAAAGTTGTGGGAAACCGTAGGTAATTTATCTTGATACAGAATAGTTGGCTCTGCTAGGTAGGCTCGAGGCAGGGTAGGCTAATTAGATGTAGATATTGGATTGGCGATGAGACGAATGGGGTATGGAAGATACTACTGGGTAGGTAGTTGTCGGGACGGAAGGTACTTCGTACAGTGGAGAATGAAATATGGGATGGGGCATACTAGATTTATTGCATTTTTTGATCTTTTAAATGCCTAGATTTTGACTGGATTGCAATCAATGTATTCTCAGCCTGATGGAATGACGGCAGCGATCATCATCCTAAGCTGGCAACGAGTACGAGTACCTACCTAGGTAGTATTGAATCTATATGATCGGAAGACATGGAGAGAGGGGCAGTGAGATGTGAAATGTGATGACCTCGCAACTAACGACCGAGTACAGTCGATGCGACGTATATCTTCATATTCTGGTGATGTTGCTACGCTGCTGCTCTTTTGTGCTGGAAATATGTAAATCAATCCACAAACATCTAGGTATACAAATGTAGTCGTAGACAGTCTGCAAGATGATACAATGGTTTTGTGTTGTTCTTCACCAAAGTCGGCTAAGATAAAGGATAGCACGAGCCACACTTTCTCACATTTTGTTAATGCGCCACAGCTCTTATCCGCAGAAGTGGCCAGTTCTACCTATGCCACAGCACTACATCATATGAACTTCAATCAGGACAAATCAATTTCATTCACAAAAATCAATTTCACTCACAGGAAAATGATTAGTATGAGAATGGGCACTTGATCCACCTCTGAGAATATCGGCAAAGAGTATACTGTCATTTTGAACTCATCCGGTTGTCGCGTATCGATTAAGCATTTAGCGTGGAGCACGCCACATATACATATAGCTTGAAGCTACTGAGCTACAGAGCTGCCCATCTACCAACTTTACGGGGTCGTAGGTGGAAAGCTCAACATAGGCACAATGGGTTCAAGACTTGCTTGGTATGCTGGTATATCCACTGGTTTGGCAGCTGCAGTGGTTCTCTCTGCGTTTAATCAGCGCGCAAACTTCTATTCAGCATGTGTTTACCTGGCGCAGAGTAATTTGTGTCTTATGGTATGTAGTTTCCGAACTTCGAACTCTGGAGTTGACGAACATGACTGACTTTTCCTAGATCCTAATCAATCTGGTATGCTTTGGACCCAGATCTCTCATTTCTACGATCTGCGATATCACCCCGCCGAAACTTCCGATTGCTGACAGGTCTTAGATTCTATTGGTCTTTTCTAGTTTCATGTACGGACTTCAACGACTTTGCTACGGCCCTCTGCGCCCCATCGAAATCGAGCAGTTATATGAGAAAGCTTGGTTCGCCATCACAGAAACAT